CACCCGAATGTCAAATTTTCAGTGCCGAACCCCGAGTGCCGGGTGCCGGGTCCCGAGTCCCGAAACCTGGAACTCAGAATTTGCCATTTGAGACTAACGACATTTTTCAGACATGTTTATATCAACCTACGTATATCTATAAACATTTTACTAACCCCCAAACCCCGACATATATTTTTGTTGTGTCATACTGAGTTCCGAGTTCCGGGACCCCCGAACCCCAAAACCCGGCAGTCCACAATTTCGGGGTTCGGGGGTTGGTAAAATGTGTATGGATAGATGAAAGGTTGATTTAAACATTTTTGAAAAATGTCTCATATCAAATGTCAAGTCCCGAGTTCCGAATTCCGGAATTCGAAACTTGGGACTTGACATTTGATATGACACATTTTTCAAAAATGTCTAAATCAACCTTTCATTTATCCATACACATTTTACCAACCCCCGAACCCCGAAATTGTGGACTGCCGGGTTTCGGGGTTCGGGGGTCCCGGAACTCGGAACTTGGAACTTGGAAAATTTGGGGAGATCAATAAAATTTGATTTACAATCGAGTTGATTGACAAACACATTGACTTACCCATGTTTGAAATATATTTTTGTTGTCTCACATACCGAGTTCCGAGTTCCGGGACCCCCAAACCCCCAAACCCGGCAGTCCACAATTTCGGGGTTTGGGGGTTGGTAGATCTCGGTTTGGGGTTTTGCACTGAAAATTTGACATTTATATTTTTGTGAGTGTTGTGCTTCTGGTGTCCGTGCTTAGAAATAGGATATGTTGCACACCAGGGTTCAGGTGTGGGGTTTTTCCACTTCAGTCCTCGATTATTGGTCAATGCCACACATGGTCAATTCATGTTTTCGTGCTTAGGGGTTTAGATTCGGTGGTCGATGGTAGGTATATGCACTCATAGTGTACATGTATCCTACGTGTTTGATTGCTGGTGGCTACATCAGCTGTATGTCTTGATGAAACGTATCTAGGCTCACCCATATATGTACTCATCTATGTACAATTCCCCCACATCAGCCCACCCATCTATGTATTATCCCCCATGTCGGCCCACCCGTCTATGTAATACATCCTATGTTGGCCCACCCGTCTATATAATACATCCTACGTCAGCCCACCCGTCTATATAATTATACCCCACCTCAGCCCACCTGTCTATGTAATAGATATTTTATCACACCCTCGGCCCACCCGTCTATTTGATATCCCTTTTGTCGGCTTACCCGTATATGTAATACTTTCCACGTCGGCCCACCTGTATATGTAATACACCCCACGTCAGCCCACCCATCTATGTAATATTCCCCTACCTCGGCCCACCCATATATGTAATACACCCCCGTCGGCCCGCCCATCTATATAACAATATTTGCCTTACATCTCTCTTCAGCCCAGCTGTCTATAATATCCTACTCTACATATTACCCAGATGGGCCCACCCATCTCCATGAATGATCATATTCCCCCGGCCCATCCGTCAACATCAAGGATATATATATCATTGGCATACATGGGCCCACCCGTCTCCATCGGAAATAATATGTGTCCCGGCCCATCCATCATCATCAAGAATATACACAACATGGGCCCATAATCCGCTGGCCCGTCTCATACGGGATATTATGTAGGTCGGGTGGCCCGTATAATACGGAATTTGTCACTGAAGGGGCTCAACTTCAATGCCCAACAATGCACCCTTGAGTGCTGCATAGATGCGCTCGCGTAATAGGTCAGTGGTCGGATGCCCCTCTTCACAATGACGATGGAGATACTTGTTCATTGCCTTCTGTAGGCCACGAACAAGTTTTTCTTTCTTCAAAGACAGGTGCCCCACAGCCTGACTGCCGCTGATGTCAACATTGGCCATCGAGATCTGCGCCTGAAATGCCTTGAATACGGTAAGTCTAGGAGCCTGTCAGCGGAACTATGTTGCTAACCTCATCACCTGCTACATCAGGACTTTGGATAGAAATATCTTGTGCACTTCCCAATGTCCCGCCAGGTGATTTGGGTTCGTCAATGGACATGGCGGATCCCATCCACATGAATTGTGTGTCTAGCTGGAAAGGATCAGTTAAGTAGTTGTTACTTCATTACGAACACGCCATCTTCATTTACCATTTCCTGTCCCAGATGAGCATCGCACTCATTGAAATACATGGCAAACCTCCTCATTAGATGTGCTGTGATTGGTTCCAGATTCTCATTGCTGGACGCCTCGACAGGTGGCGAGGGCCGAACATATGGATTGAAGTGTTTGCTACAGACTTCAGTGGGTTTACTGCAAGCTGAAGTTAGTGTAGACGGCATGAGTGAGTTGTGGGATCATAAAATTCATGTAACTCTTAAATCATATGGTTTGCAGGCCATCTAGAAGTTCATCTCATAATTCTACAATTGCATTCCCTTTGGATAAAATGCTTCTGGTTTTTCCCCTCTCTGCAGGTGAGAAACTCTGGCTTATCCCTCTGGTTTTTCCCTCCGTAATTAAGTGATCAATTCTAAAGCCTATGAAATACGTTCAGTTCTGCAAACAATAAGCTTCTGCAGAACAATTACTTCGAGTAACTTAAAGCAAGGTCCTCTTCAATCCTGCTAGTTTATTTTGCAATGGGAAACTTGATAAGCCATATCTCTGGTCAGAAATCTGTTTGTCATGAGGTTTGCTTCGTATTCATTCTGTTTGGTTGTAGCTTACATTTCTTATATACAGTCCCGGGGTACCTTGTCGACAACCACCCCCTCTTGGACGGTGAGGCCTTCATATGCAGATAAGCACCCACTAACTGCTGAGTTGTAGGACATCACTTTAGCAAAAGCACCCCTGAAGCGTAAATTTAATTTTGATGATGACTCGGCATCCCCACGAAAGCGATGCATCCTGGAATCTTATTCCACTGGCGACATAAGCCAGGTTGTCGCTACGGTATATTTCAATTTCTAATATATGCATCAGTGCTTGAGCAAGTTTTAGCCCAAGATAAATCATCGCAACACTGACTTTACAAGCCCCTCGGCCAAGCGCTTGTACAGGGAGGTGGTATGGAAAGACCTCACATATATTTGGCTCCGCTGATCTCGACCCTAGTCCGATACTTTCTTGAAGCGCAAGGCAGATGTTATACTAGATCCCTTTTCAATCAAACACGTCAAACTTTATGAGCCTTGTAGCACCCTGGCATTCATATGGTCTTTACCTGCTGAAATCCTCATTGCTATCGTCGCTCTTCTGGGAATGCAGAATCTACGCTATGTTACTCAAGTTTGTTCTCTGTTCAGAGAAATCGCTGGACCCCTCTTCTTCACCAACCGGAGCTTCCCAACATCACTGCAAGATATGTTTCACATTCGTGTAGACTCCTACAATTTTGACGTTTTGCTTACTTGGATACGTATGGATACCTTTCGTCCTCCGCATATGATGTTATGTTGGTTAGATCCTGAGGTGCGGTCCATGCAGCTCTCTGCATTTTCGCACTTTCTCCAATCTGTCCCCCACAAATCCATACGATATATCACACTTTTCTGGAATTTCAACATTCTTGCTTGCTCAGTTCTCCCTCAAATTGTTACAGTCTTCGAGACCATCCGTGCCTCCGGCTGTGAAGATCTGACGTGTATGGGATTTTACGGCCGCATTGGCTCATTGTCCATCACTGGACTCACCCAAATACAGGGGCATGCGAGCAGGAACCACCTCAAAACCTTTGATGCATCATCACAGGCGTTATTTTCCCCAAAACTCCTCCCTTTCACAATCCAGACAATCCACTGTTCCCGTTTGGAAATGCTCCGACTTAGTTCCATCAAGCTCAGTTCTTCACACTGGGACAAACTGCTGTGGCATTTAGCCATCCCAACGCTCGTCGAACTTCGAGTTGATGCTGATTGCGCCCCATCCACGCTCATTCGCTTTCTGGCCTGTCACCCTGGCGTTAACATACTTAGTGTCATTCCGCGACCCGGCTGTGCCTGGAGGACGCACCGTGTCAATGCTCCTTTGGCATAATTGGTATCCATGCTAGATGGGCCTTTGTCCCATGTCCTTCCAGTCCTTCGGAGTCACCTTAAACCTCCCACCCTCGCCTACCTTGCTCTCTCATTGCAAGCTCATGACGCTTCACCTGACTACCTTACCACCATCTTACAATGTGTCGGCTATTGTAATAGCATTAGATACCTCGATCTTTCCCTGCCTCCGCAGAGTCATTCTCATTCGGCAATGATTTACCCAGGTACCCAGTCAGCAGTTCACATCGAACACCTGGCGATCTCCTCGGACGCTGCAGGCTCATGCTCTGCCTCGGCGGGAGATGAATTGGTACGGTTTTTTCAAAGCACTATTTCAATACTTCAATACTGATGGTGGCTCCAGGTGTTATCTGCTTCGTGGATTGAAGCATTTCCTCTAGTCAAACGTGTCAGTATGCGAGGCTGCTCCAACCGTACTGCTAAGTACCTTGTCCACAGTATGCGCAAAATTGCTGCTGCTGGTGTTGAACTGTCTGTGAAACTGCATCCCAAATATTCCTAGTAATTCACGGTTTGTTACGCGCCCGCCAAACTTGTCCGTCCTGTACGATACTTACAAAAATGTTATGTATCTATGTATCTATGTATTCTATATTCTATCCAAAGGGGCGCACATGGCGTCGACGCAAATTCCATTCGCAGGCGTTTGGCTCCGTCCCTACAATAAAATCTACTTGCAAGTGTCATTTTTCAATTGACCACCGACACACCAGCCAGCAATGCCCGCCAAAAATTCACATTGGGCGCTGGTGCCCAAATTCTGGCGGAGCTTGATTATGTAGTCATTCACTATATCAGGTGTGTTCTTTCATTACTTATTTCTTTCTTTTCCCCATAGCTAATTATGTTGATTCAAAGTTTGTTTAATATAGCAATACTATGTACTTATTTACATTGAGCATTCCAGGAGATTTGGTGCTTGCCAACAAGCCAAACATGATATACGTATTGTACACTCCTTCTTGACGAATGAAATGAAAGTCAGTCCATAATGGTATGCACGAGCAGCAGCTGCATTGCAAATGTCGGATTCGGCCCCCCTGTAAGTGCCCTCCACTGACTTGATGCCAGTGCTAATTTCTTTGCTATTGCCATTCTTATAGGACCAGAATCCTGGCAAAGCCAGTCGTGCATGTTCTGAAGTTTGCTCTATGCCTAGCCGAATATTCCTCTGCAAATGTGCCCAATGCTGCAAGGTTGGAGGTGACAGAGTGCCTGGTAAACCTGGTGGCAAAGAATTGCCCGTCGCGATGAAGCATGTGCATTCGTTGCAAGCTGCCAACATTGCTTCTTCACCCCATGAAGCTTCTCGTTCGTGTCGCATCACGGATCGTCAAGCACCGTCCTTCCAACGTCTGGCTCACCCAACACATTCACCCGCAACATCGACACCGGTAGACAACCTTGCCGCTGAACTATTTGCCATCACCCTAAGCGACAATGAGGCCGATCCAGATAGTCATAGCAAACTCTGGGTTTCCCGATCAGAAGTTCAACAGGATAAAAGCAAAAGCTACTCTCTGGATGCCACGGCTAATCTAGTGTCTGGACTCACTCTGGACGATGCGCAGTAAGCATTATAGCTGACATCACCACACTTCAAGCTCTCTAACTTAGTTGTTTCTTAGACATATCGCTCGTGCTCTCCAGGCTGCTGAAATGCGGCGCGTGTCAAGAGCTCAAGTAACCTTGAACATTGTGGAGTCACAGATAGCTAGAGCTTGCACTTGAATTCTCTCTGCGACTTCTCGTGATGTGCTACATCTGATACGAAATGAGCTGACTCAGGTCACTACAACCCTCAAAAAAGTCAAGTACAAGGTCTCTTCCATCGTTTCTCGCAGAAGTCGGCTAGAAGCTTCTTGCGATGAAATGCATAGATTGCTCATTGACAAAGAAGATGAATTCCTTGTATCCACTCAACCGTACGAGTTTGATTCTTGTGAGTTCCATTTATTTCCTCCCTATGTTTCTCCGACTAATGTCCTATGAAGCACATCATTACGATTTGCCAATCGACTACTGTGACGAGGTCGCACAATTATCCCTCTTTTTAGGGGCAGTCTCTGTTGTCATTTTTGGTATTGGTCGTAGACACGGGGAGTTCCTCATGGGAGTTCTCTCCTTGATTTTGAGTCTCGCGATGGAGGCACAGAATCCTCATTCCGAGTCTTGTCGTCTCAACACCCTTGCTCAGATCCCGCGATCTATGGAATCTGCGCTTTCACACTTCAAGCTCGACGGCCAGACCACCACTTATGCAGTCTGTCCGGTGTGCAATTGTACTTACAAGCCGACAGCAGACCTCAACTCAAGTCACTCACGATACCCTGCAAAGTGTCTCAACAAACCCATACCAGAGGGTGATCCTTGCGACAAACCGTTGCTGCAGTGCTCCACTGACGGCCAATTCAAGCCATTAAAAACATTTCTTTATCACCACTTTCACGACTACCTTGCCAGATTGCTGTGTCGTCCCGACCTGGAGGCCTTGATGGATAAGCCTTGCGATGATTTGCTAGCATCCATCGGCAGTACACCACACATCGTCAACGATGTTTGTGATGCGAATTTCTTTCGTACCTTCAAGGGTCCATCTGGCCAGTCTCTATTTATTGACAGAGGTGATGAAGGCCAATATGCCTTCACGCTCAACATTGATTTTTTCAACGTTGAAGGCAATCATCAGCGAAATGCATCAACATCCACAGGCATTATTTTATGTGCATGTCTGAATCTCCCCCTCGATATCCGGTACAAACACGAGAACATGTACCTAGCTGGCATTATTCCTGGACCTTCGGGAGATGAATTGAATTTTTTCCTCAATCCTGTGGTTGACAATATGGTTGAAAGTTGGGAGCATGGGATACGTTATTGCCGCACAGCTCTTAACGTTCATGGTCGGGTTACACACAGCGCCATAGCATGTTTAGTATGTGACCTCCCGGCGGCGAGAAAGACCGCTCAGCTAGCTGGTCCAACGAGCCATTTTTATTGCAGTGCCTGTCATTGCTGGCACAGGTCAACCTGTGGTCGAACAGATCTTCAGTCTGAAGATTGGAGACTTCGGGACAAGGATGAAGTGCGTCGCTATCCTGAGCTCTGGAAGAATGCCAGAACTTCAGCTGAGTGTAACAAGTTGTTCGTGTCACACGGAGTATGGTGGTCGACACTCTGGAGGTTGTCATATTGGGATCCCTCTTGTCAAATCGTTGTCGATGCCATGCATTGCCTGCTGGAGGGTCTTGCACATGCTCATTTTTGTGAATTTTTAGGCCTCACATCTGACTTCGCACATAGCAAGCCTGACGTTTCCTCTGCTTTTACTTATTCCTTCCTTGACGTCGAGCTCAACAAACCTCAAGACTTCCAAGAAAAAGACATTAGAATTGTCAAATCAATTCAAAGTCTCATTACTGAAGTGGTCCCCAACCTTGAGGGGAACAACTCACAGCTTATCGAAGATCACCTCACACAGTTAGAGAGAAAATTGTTGAACAAGATGGTCACATCCCTTCGGTTCGTGTCGGTAGGGTTGGGCATTGCGCCAGACGTCCCACACCCTGGCAAAAAGGTTTTCAAGCCCCATTGGGTTAGAGCGCTCATCAACTGGGTAGGTGTTTTACTCTATTGATGTTATTGTACCCTCTTAAGCCACCTCTGCGTAGCGTCGGACTCAACCTTTCGCTGCTGAGGGGTCAAAATTGCGGATTGCTACCCCAGAAGTTATGCAACACATTACTGATGTCATTAGGATGACGGACACGCCATCCTCGATAAGATCAGTCCCCCATAACTTCGGCAAAACAAAAGCTGGAACCCTCAAGGCTGATGAATGGCGCACATTAACGACACTATACTTACCCATAGCTCTGGTTAGCTTATGGGGTGAGGGATCCACTCACCGCACCTCAGAAATTGCAGCCAGTTGTCGTGCTATCCTCGATCATATGATGGCCCTCGTGTCTGCTGTCCACATTGCATGTCAACGATCTATGACAACGGCTTGAGCAAACACATACCATGGATACATTGTCGACTGGATGAGGGATTTACAGGTATTACTTCCACATGCATGCCATTGCACGAATGGCCATATGGCATTGCATGTCTGGGACTACCTGCAGCTCTTCGGTCCTGTGAGGTCATGGTGGTGCTTCCCATATGAGCATCTCATCGGGCAGTTGCAGCGGTTGCCCAACAATCACATTTTCGGTACGATTTTAACTTCTATGAACTTGTCTTCTTATGTTGACTCACGCAGGTCAACAAGAATCAACTCTTCTGCACTCATACATCAAGGCTGCCAAGCTCAAATATTGGCTAAACCGACCTTCTTGTCCTCCCGTGTTTAGGGAGGTGAAGTCTCTATTTGACAGATTTGTGTCTCCCTTAGTTGACGCTAATCCTATTTTTGCGCCCAAAGATCACTGTGCACCACAACAAGTTATTCCAGACGACCTTCAGCGACTGACTCAAGTTCGGTGGGCAGTCTTACATGCTCACACACTCCATGAGGGAACCATCTACACCCGTGACTCCACCCATGTGGGCAACAGCCTGATCCTCTATCATCCTGATGGCATCAGGAACATTCAACCAACACCAGGGATCATCAAGTACATTTTTGAGATGGAAAAAGTAGTGGGCTTTGGCGTATGGTGTTACCTCCCTTTATACTCTCACGCCAACCATCTTGAAACTGTCAAGCCCGAGTGGGTAGTATCCCATTTCGCATGTTGGAACTTTTCTCCACAGCACATTGTTGTTGTGTCTTTGTGTCGGGTATGTCCCCTCCCCTTTTTTTCCTGTGTTATGTTTCACAATGTACATAGGACTGAATCAGATATGCTTTCTCGACATGCAGAAAGTGGAATAGTCCCGACTCATGTGGGAAGGTTCTGGATCCGGGAAGATCCGGACTGAGTCTGAGTCATTCACTATAAAAGGCCCCAAATGTAATTTCCGTTTTTTTTCTCTTCTTCCTCCTTCGGAATATATCACCACGGTCCGGTTTTTGCCGTTAGTCATTTGTACATACATACACACCCGCTATACATACCCATTATACCCCAGGCTGTACTACACATTATGAACATTATCCCCAACCTTGCAGTGCCTGCTGAAGGCACCCCTACCGCGGAACCAGTAAGGCATCCTATTGCGGAAGGCTCCTATCTAGCTCCCAATGACATCGTCAATACTCCTATTAAACGGGACAGCTCCAACATGCTGCCCTTTACGACTCTTACATGGTGCCGCATTGAAACTATTAATGCTATGGGTAAAGAGATGAAAGGTTATTTTGTTGGCCCGATGCCAGTTGGGGAGTTTCTCCAGGAATTTCTCCCAACTTCTCAGATTCCTGACTATGATCCCTCGTCCTTCAATTTTGTTGCTGGCACATTCAGCGACATGATTTCCGTTAAAAATGAGGAACACACCTACAAACCCTTCATGAGTACCCCCGCACATACAACAGTGAGGTTATTGACAGCTTAATCTAGATTAACACCATCACACCTTTCGCTCCTCAATTGTCATTTGTTGACACTCACAATCACCCAGACACACAAAACTGCTCGAAAATAGATTCAGCGGTGTTTAATATCAAGCCGGACATCTGCGTGTATCCCGATGGACGTGAACCTTCATTGCGCAACTGCGATGTTTCTGCAACAGAAATAATCGTCGAATTCAAATGGTCATACTCCCACAACGCATTCTGCGACCCTTCTGGAGTTGATAGTGTTATATCCCGCATGGAGAAGGGTATGGACATGCTGGGCCAAATAATGAGCTATACTGCAGCTCAGCTCAGCACCCAGTTCCATACCCATGCATTCTCTCTCCTGATCGTGCGTGATCGCGCTTGCATCATCAGATGGGATAGGGAGGGGGCTATCGTCACTAGCGCCATCGACTACAACAATGAGCCACACTTGGCTGATTTCTTTCATCATTACGCACAAGTGTCACCTGAAATGCGTGGTGTCGATACTTCCGTAACGCTTGCCAGCAACGAGGAGGCTTCCATCGCAAGGTCATCGCTAAATATTCCCAATACTACTCGTATGCTCAAAGTCGATGTCCCTAATGCCAAGGGCTCTGGCTCGCTCACATTGATCTTTCCCCAACCTGCTATGAAATCTCATTCTCCTGTTGGCCGCTGGACACGCGCATGTCCTGCATTTGACCTTGTCAACAAGAAGGTCGTAATGTTCAAAGATTCCTGGCAGGTATCATTACCCAATGTCTTACTGGAAGGTGAGACTTACAAATTGTTGAAGTTGCACAAGGTTTCCCATATCGCAAACTGCATCGCATATCATGATGTACCCCCCTCTATCCCTCAGCAATCTACGCAGACTGCTAAGTTCGGATGCGCTCAATGGGCAAGTCCCCACTTACCTCTCACCCCGCACACTCTACACCGTCTGGTCCTCGATATTGTGGGCACCAAATTGACTGACTTCGAGAGTTCTTGTCAACTTGTTATGTCTGTGCGTGATGCACTGATTGGTGCATATTTATTTTAACTTCATGTTGTTACAGTCATCCGTAACACCTACAGAAGCCCCCGCTCTGCTAGACTCCCGATGCGGCGGCACGCCGCCAGCACTTAGAAAGACAGCGGTCTGGACCGCTGTGACACCGCCCCTGGCCTAGATGGCCTTGTACCTGATCCATGGAGGCTGTACGCCTCATGGACACCCTAGATCAGCACATGCATACCACATGCCGCTTCATGAAGATCCGGAGTGCCCCCAGGTGCCTCATGTAGATGTGCAGTCACACTTGGCGCTGCATGCTTGATCAGAGGTTAAGCCTCATGTATCTTATCTGTACTCATGACCATCCTCATGTACTCTTATCAGAGATCCCAGATATACTATAGATACAGACTGAGCTTGAACACTTACATGTAGCACATATAAGTAGACAGATTATTGTACTGAGATCTTTACTTTAATCTACTTGGTCCTACCTAGAGATAGCCTTGTTTAATCCACTTGGTTCCATCTTGAACACCTTGTTCAGTTAAGCCTTCCAGCTTAGCTGTCTAGACCGCACTTCTAAGTCGCTCCCCGCGCCTTAGCCATATCCACTAGCCCTGTATCTCGACGAGCGCCATCTGACCGAGATAACTGGAGGAACCCTTGACGTTCCGTCAAGTCGCCGAACACCCTCAACTTCGGTGGGCTCACTCGAGCCGTCGTTGAGAAGACCTATCCAAGTTCGCATATGCCGACCGACGGTCAGCGTAACACACGTTATCTTATTCATGATCTATCAATGCAGCTCATAAGGACGCATTTGAACTTGCAAAGGTATTACATCGGGACCTTAGTGTTGGAAATGTCGTCATCTACAAAGGGAAGGGCTACCTAATTAATTGGGACCTATCAAAGTTAGTTAACATTCAGGGTCCCCGACAAACAACATGCACGGTGTGTTTATTCCTAAGGGAACCTGGCAATTCATGTCTGTGTACCTCATTGAGCATAAATATGCCATACATACGGTCAAGGATGATCTCGAGTCCAGCTTTTACGTTGTTCTGTGGACGGCTCTTATGTACAAGGATACTTGCATGGACGTCTTTCGCAGGACATCACTCATCACACAGCTCTTCGAAGCCTCACCCAGGTCAGCCTCAAAAACAGATTGGCTCATCGGGAGAAGTACCCTTCCCAATGTTATGTATATCGACTGCACACCGCTCGACAGTCTCATCCATGATCTTGCCAAATTCTTCTTGCATCGGTACACGCGGATCACTGAGCATCAGCAAATGGTATTTGACAAATTCCAGCTCGTGTATGAGAAAGCGGTGCAAGAAATCCCTGTCGTACCAGAGTTTTTGGTAGCTTCACATGAGATGATGATGGACTCCCCTGTTTACAAGAAGAACATGGGTATGAAGGTCCTGGACTCACATGACGCTGTGGTAGGCATTTTCAACAAGTACCTCGATTTATCCAGTTGGCCTGCCAAAGATAGTGCCGTGCTGCAAAAACTTCAACAGGAGGAGAAGTACGAGCCAGTCTTGGTCACGAAGTCTCAGTCGTTATTCGCCTCGGGGGTAGAAGTCACTCTGTCTGGCAAGAGGCATAGACTAGATAATGCAGATGCTGACGATGGTGATGACCTCAGCTTGATGACAAGCCTGGATGCACTTACATCCATTAATCAATCTCACCTCTAGTGTTAAGTATGTATGTCGTGTAACTTGCCTGCCACCGTATTCCAGTTGTTCACGAATCTGCATTTCTACGAGTACCCAATGTGAATACCAATGATTGCCCCGATTGCCCGATGAACGCCCAACGAGTGCCCTATGAGTGCCCAACGAGTGCCCACGTCATTTTTCCTGTGCTAAAAGTTCACATTTTACCTATTCATTTTATCTTGCGAAAAATTTCATTGTGCCCGCAATTGGAAAATGTTCATCGTTACTTGATATTTTGAGGCACATTTTCCCATGTTCAAAACTTTATAATTTACATCGCTCAAAATGGTGTGCAAAATGTAGAATTTTTCCCAGGATTTTGGCACTCATTGGGATTTAAAAATTTTCCTGTGTCAAAATGTATAGTAAAAATGCCAACTTTATCACTAACATTTTGAAACAAATCTTGCATGGTGAAAAACTCCCAAACCGCCGGTGTGTAAGGAACTTTATTTTTTTAAGTTTGCAGCACAAATAGTACATGTACAGCACCCACATAGTACAGTAACTTATACCCGTATTAGACGGACAGCTGAGGGTGACAATGTAGCAATAGAGGTGGGCCAGCCCATGTGGGCTCATGGCAACAATTGTACCATGGTAGATGAGTGGGCTGCAAGGTGGTGTGTACCTAGTGATGTCATGACTCGGCTTTGGCCAGCCCAAGCTCGGCTCTTACCAATTTCCCAGCGGTTCGGCGATCCCCATGAACCAAGTCAGTCATGTGCGACTTGGTTCAGTCTGTAAGCTGTCTAAATCAGTACAGACCAGCACAAGCCAAGAATGTGGGAACAACGGTTTGAGCTGGCCTCAAGCTGTCTCAAGCTAGCTGGTGGGGGTTGTGTGGCAGTACTTATTTTCAGTTCCAACTTCCCTCCATTTCAGGCTCCCACTATCCAGTTGGATCTGCTGTTTACTTATCAAGTCGATTACCATGAACAAGGTCCTGGTTTGAGTGGATGGTAGATTTAGGCTGGGAGATGTTTTAGGATCTGGCTCATATGGTATGTAGTAATTGATTCAAATTTGTTGTTCACATGCTGATTCAGATCTACTTATAATATGCCACTTAGCTGTCGTATATTCTGCACGGAACATCATCAATGATGATCATGTTGCTCTCAAACTTGAAACTATTGTCGACCACTCATCTTCTGTAGAGCATGAATACCACATTTTGAAACAACTTGAAGGCAGAGTTGGCATCCCCCGCACCCTCTGGTTCGGTAGAGAGTCAGCATATCATGTTCTGGTTCTTGAACTTCTTGGGCCATCACTCCACCAGCTTTTCCTCGCAAACAATCGAAGATTCAGCCTTCTCAATGTCGTGAATCTAGGAGACCAGTTGGTCAGTCGTTTGGTCCGAGGTTTTTGCAGATAGGTTGACTTACTTTCCTAGCTCTCATGTCTCGAGTACATCCATTCACACAATTATATTCACGGTGACATCAAACCGCAGAACGTCTTGGTGGGTCTTGGAAGTTTGAGGCACACCACCTTTATCATTGATTTTGGTATCACGAAGACATACTGGAACACTACAATGAGTGACCATATACCATTTCGCCATGGTCAAAGTCTCTCTGGCACTCCTGGATTCGCCTCAATCAACAATCACTTAGGAGTTGAACCAGGTCGTCGTGATGATCTTGAGTCACTTACCTATATGTTAATATATTTCTTACGCGGTTCCCTTCCATGGTTAACCAGTGACGATGAGAAGTTGTCCAGCTCTACGATACTCGAACGCAAAGCATGTGCTACCATTGCAGATATATGTCTTGACATCCCCATTGAGTTCACGACCATTCGTATTTACACACGCTCTCTCGCATTCGCAGAAGATCCTGACTATGATCACCTTTGTTCATTACTTCACGGTCTTCGTGTCACATTGCCTGCACCAGCTATGTGCAAGATGGATTTTAGCCTGCCTGATGATCCTGCTATACACCCCCCTCCATTATCTGACCAGTGTTGTGTGGCCAAAGCAATGTCGACATGTCCTCCAAAGGCAATGGACAGATCGACTCGTGTGTGAGTACTCTATTTGTTTCATCCTTGAACTGAAGCTCAACATATTTCCAAGGCTACGCCCACGTAATGGCACCCCATGGCATGCTGCGTCAACTCCACAGCGGAAACAGTAACTAGTTGCTGTTGAATAGACTATAGGTACATATTGCATATCAGCCCATTATGACCTGTGAGTAGCCTTCATGTTGATAATGATAGTGATTTTCTGTAGATCTCTCGCAACGCTGGGATATTCATTCCAGAAGCATAGATTCACAGACATCGGTCTGTTTCGGAGTGTCCTGGGACCTGGATCACTCTCCGCAAATGTGACGCTAAGCTGCAGGTCCTCATTAAAGTCGAGACTTGAGAGTGAGGGATATTTAATAGACACTGGATCGTATCTTGCCTTGTGCATGCTGTAACTGTGTAGCTCAATGTTTGCCAAATGCATCACATGTAATTATGCACCGCTTTTAGCATGATTAGTAATAAGTCTAGGCATTTTTTCCCTTGATTTTCCCTCCAACGTGCTGTCGTGCTGTGCAGTGTGCAGCATCTTTGCGCCATACGTCTCATACCACCATTACTTAATTGTGCCAGTGCATTTGCAATTTGCCAGTGCTGATCGACATGATCGCCGAGGTGAGGGTCTTGTTCTCACTTATGATTATTCACCACTGAAGTTTCGAATCACGATATCAACCAGGCCGCCACCACATCAGGCGACAGAGTCCAGCAATTTTTCTTGTGCAAAGGAATAGATCATTGCATTATGCATATACCCCAAACTGCAGCATTCTGCATAGGGGACTTTTGGCCAGTGCTCTGCTGAGTCTTCTTCCCTTTTGCTGGATGGCGGCTTTGTTGGGTTGTGATCTAGATATTAGTTGGTCAAGGAAGAAAGTATGTATAGTCTACTTGATTGATCTAGCCAATTCTGATTAATAGATTAGTTCATTGATCGTAAAACTGTATTGCGCGGTGATTAAAGTGGTAGTCATCCACACACACCTTGTAGACATGCAAGGCTATGGCATGCCACATGACCTATTGCTAATGTATCGCTTACCTTTGGATGGCTTCACTGCCTTGTGATCTGGCTTTGGAATTAAAACTAAGTGACTTTGAGGATGAAGGTAAGCCGTACTTTTCTCAATCTATCTATCTGATCACGATCTAGAAAGCTACATGCCATGAGCCAATTCACTTCAGGTATGTCCTTCAAGATCAAGCGCCCCTCCCCCTCACCTCCATCCAATTATAGCGATTTCCAAGCATTCGTTGACAGAAAACAGACGAAGAAGACTAATTACGCCCCAGTCATACAACAGGTGCCCAACTTGCGTGTCGCACTTTTACTAGTATTAGGTAGGAACAATCACATCTCCTATATCATATGATTCATATCGCTACCCTACAGGGTATGACATACTACATGGGCGACCTTTCATCAATGCCCCGCTCCATTTTCCACCCTGCAATATCTCAATTTGCACATTGCCTTTGGGCCTTATGCTTGACGCATGCATTGGAATTTCTGGGGTTTCCCAGAAAGAACATTTATATAAACAGATTATTCTGTTGTTGGACTGTCACCACTACCACCACTACTACCACAAATGCGAGGTCGTCGATGTGGGCAGAACAGAGCCCAGGCAGCTGCCATCCCCACTGTTGCTCCTATCACTGTAGCTGCTGCAGCAAACGCTACAACTCTTCAAAACCCCCATTGGCAACAGCTTCCTCTTAGATACAGAACCAGTGATGCAGCTCATGCTGGTCCAGATGAGGGCGAAATCTTCGACCTCGAGAATATCTCAGGGGACAAAGAGGAACCAGGCAATTTTCCTGTGCCCACCGCTATGGTGCCTGCAGGCTCTAATCCAAGCCCACTCCAGGCTGTCACCAGCACTGTTCGGACTGACCCTTTCGCCACTGGCAACCTCAAGCAGACTAAAGGGCCGACTGATATGACTCACTTCTACCGGATCGATACCGATACTAAGGGCAAAACTTGCATCCCTTGCTAGTAAGCATCACATCTGCAATCTTTTGTTGTTTCTTACATCCTTTGCCAGAGCACTACATGAGGTCAACAACACATACAAGGTCATGGTATACACAGGCTCAATGTCCAGTTCAGCTCCCCATACACATGCTTTCACCCATCACACCGAACTTTATCTGGAAGCAGCAGAGTGTTTTGGCTGGCGCATACTGATAAAGGATCTAAATGAACGCCTTGCTGAAGGGTAGACACTCACCATGATTCGCGAACGGCTTAGGAAATTACCATGCACAATGCAGTCACTTGGTCCTCCCCCTACTCGTGGATCTGATGCCTTGCTGGTGGGAACCTGCTCTCCAGAAGATGAAATTCCAGACTTCATGCTTGATGAAATGCATCGTCAAATTGTGAAGTTTATTGTTGCCGATGATCAAGTGAGTCGCAGTTCACCCTTAAAGCCACCATTAATGATCACCCCCAGGCAATAAACATAATCGAGTATCCCAAATTTAGATGCCTCATCCGTCTCCTGCGCCCAGAAATTGGCGAGACTGGCCTATTTCACTGCACGAAGGCTCGTGAAATGGTCATTGAGCAATGGCAGGAATACTTCCTGGCCTTGAAGAAAGACCTTGCTGTAAGTGCATAGTTGCCGAGAGTCCTACGAAGTATCTTATTCCTTTTAGAACGCACAGGGCAAAGTCTGCTTCACATCTGACCTGTGGTCAGATTATAAGCTGCGGCTGTTTATGGCCATTACGGCTCATTGGATTGCCAAGGCCGATAAAGGTTCAATGCTCGTGTTAAGGGCAGCCCTCATTACTTTCCATCACGTTCCTGGCAGTCACGATGGACAATCTCTGGGTTCTGTGATATTATATCTCCTTGATCGTGCAGACACTGCAAACAAGGTCAGTACTTATTTGCATCGTGTTGCATGCTCTGATGTTGTTTGAACTGGGCATTTTACTCTCAACAACATGGCCAACAATCATACCACAATGCAGGAGCTTTCGGCTCTACTTGGGCAGCGTGGGATTGATTTTGATCCTATCGAACACAGGATACCATGTTTCCTGCACGTGATAAACATATGCATGAAGCATATCATTGACAAATACACTGCTGCTGACTTCTCCACCATGGATGATACATGGACAGTCAAAGATCAAATCATCAAAAAAGTAGATTATGTCCAGGCTGTACAAGCTAAGCCTCTCGAGCGAGCCAGAAATATCGTGCAATTGATCCGTGCATCAAACCAGCTGTGCGACAGGTTTCGTGACAGCATCCTTAGGGGTAATGAGGAGGGGTGGTTTCGAGATGACAAGGGCGAGCTTACACAGCTCCCGGTCATAGAACTTCTCCTCAATGAGCCTACTAGATGGGATTCGGTATATGTTATGATAAACTGTTTGCGGACACTCCGCCAGGTAAGACATCACACCATTAAACATATCTCATATAACTAATACTGGTTCAGGCGATAACCACCTTTTTTGATGGTTGGACTCAATGCAATATATCCAAGAAAAGATTGAGTGAGATGGATTGGCAGTTCCTCCAGGACCTGGAAGTGATCTTGGAAGTAAGTACTAATATATTTGAAACCCATGATCCATTTTACCATTTCATACCAGGCACCCCATGCCGCCCAGCAAAAACTCTCCAGTGAAAGCACTCCCTTGCTGAGCCATGCCGTTCCAGCTTTTGAAGAGTTGATTGAGGGCTGGGAGTCTATTGGCCTGCACGCACCACACTGTAAGCCTGTTGTTGACGTAGGCCTAACCTGGGCGAGCAAATACACTGACCGGATGAACACGACACATGCTTATGCTGTCGCTATGTGTCAGTCCTATGTTTTCTTCTAGTAAATGTTGATCTCACAATTACCTATGTAGTCATTGACCCTGTGACACAGATGTCATGGATGAACAATCGATGGGAGGGGGAGTGCATTAATGATGCCAAGGAGTTTATTATGAAGCTGGTATGTCTGTTTAGTAAATAAAGGTGAAACTTTGAACTGATTTGTTCTGCAGATGCATAGCAAGAGAGAAGAAAACTCTAATGCTACACATTCTCAACCTGTAGTAGTTCCACGACCGCTGCCACGCACACTAGGTTCACGTCGCTATGGACTTCCCGAGGTGCATGCACATGTGCCGCATCACCATGATGGTCACATAGTAGATCAGGAGTTCACAGCATACGCCATGGCTACTCTTAGTCCTGAGGGAACAGATATACTCACATTTTGGAATGTGAGTCCGTTGCCTCTTCAAGTCACCCTTTGTCATTAACATAAGTTGTTGACCAGGCTTCGCAGTTCATTTTCCCAACTATATACTCAATTGCCATGGACTACGCCCCAATACAAGCCTCTGCTGTGCCGTGCGAGCGGTCATTTTTGTCGAGTAGTGAAACCCATACGAAAAAAGGAATCGCCTCAGCCCCGTTTTGATGGAAGCCTTACAGATGGTCAAGTTTTTCCTGAAGAAAGAACAACTTGACTTTACCAGGGGTTGGGCAGCCTCTCAATGGGACATGGAACAGGAGATGGTATACACCAGAGGCTCTAATGAGCATTTGACACCTGCCGCCAGCACAAATGATGCTCTTCTCAGAGCCATTTCAGAGGAGGAGTGTGACAACATCGAGGACACTGCTACCATCTATGACAAGTGACACTTACTTCCTACTTTCTTGTCCGACTTTTGTTTCTTGTTTCCTGCCTGCCATTTGCCTCTCGCCTCTTGTTTACACTATCTTTGCTCATCATTATGCTGATTTCAATGCTTAAATTGTTTCTCACCAGCTGCACAGTGAACAACTAATGATCTGCGCTTCACCCGACCCAGCCCCAATCTTCTCTGATATCAACGCTTTACGATTGCCAGCAAGGAGCTTGAGGGCGGGCTCTTGAGACTACAGGCAGTGTTTTCACCAAGCTCATTCCGCACAACACTGTCATTCTCATTCATAAGTAAGTTCCTCAGGCACCAGACTCCCAGCATCCATACAACTATGGCTCAATCATCGTCACACCCCTCATCAAACTCTTTGAAAGCACTGACCATTACACGCATCGTACTCCTCTGCAATCTCCCCAACTTCGACTCAAAGGTGAACAATTTCTGTGTATTAATGCACAGGAAGCTCATCAAAATCAAAGAGACACCTCGATTGGTTTCATCATGAACCTTGTTGGTAAGTTCTAGATACCTGTTGTGCCGATGAGTGACACTTTAATTATTATGAAGCATATAGCCTGCCTTCTTGGTCGTTCATAGTTAGTATACTTTCTGTTTTTTTTTATGAAGATAACCTAACAAGCAATGCAGAAGTAAGACATCCAATTCTCAACTTCAGTGTTGTGACAGGTGCATAGATGTGAGCATTTCGTTCGGTACAAGGGGGCCATGACTGCAGTTGGGATTCAAGTTGTGGGTCATGCTGACCCAAGTCGTTGCCCACCGTTCCTAGGAAGTGAGTCTGTCGACCCTCATTGATTCTTGGGCCATGCTGACCCAAGTCGTTGCCCACTGTTCCTAGAAGTGAGTCCATCGACCCTCGTTGATTCTTGGGCCATGCTGACCCAAGTCATTGCCCACCATTCCTAGGAAGTGAGTCCGTCGACCCTCATTCATTATTGGGTCATGCTGACCCAAGTCGTTGCCCACCGTTTCTAGAAGTGAGTCTGTTGACCCTCGTTTATTCTTGGGTCATGCTGACCCAAGTCATTGCCCACCGTTCCTAGAAGTGAGTCCCTCGAACATAATGTACCCTTGCTTTGGGAGAGACCAGATCACTAGTCCAGGTGTATGTGCTTCAAATTCTCTCGTACACGCCACATCAACTCCTACATGACTCATCTATGAAACCAACAATGTCACTCCAAGCAACATTGAAGACCGTGCACGAGTCAAGTGGGTACCTTAACGGTTCTCTGGAAATATCTACTGACACTCTCATACAGTCGACAAAAAATGTTCTGCCAAATCATTGCCTCCCCTTTGTACATTCGTCATCAATGTTATTTCTTCAGAAAGCGAAAAGCTGGACCATGAGGACATGGAGATGTTGAAGCAGACAAAGTTGAGCAGTACATCAATGGCCTGCGGAGTGGTTGATCGGGCTATGCAAGCATATGGTGCCGAGGGTTTGAGCCAGGACCAAGAACTCACGAGCATGTTATGCTGACCCAAGTCGTTGCCCACCATGAGTCTGTCGATCCTCTGTGTGCATAGGTTTTGATATTTGGTAACAGGAACTTCCAGTTCATATTTCTATCAAGGTACAAACATCTACTGTATTCCCTCCCAACCCGAACCTGCAGCTTCTTCGACCTCGACACAACAAGACAACTGCTAATTCCTGCCACCGCGACCCATCAATCTCCACAAGTAACGTCCCCAGTTGGACCTCCAAGTCGTAATGCTCCCTTCCTCTCCTCTCCGGATTTCACCATCTCTCAAAACTCCCTGCTGTGGTCTTTCGGTGTGTTGCGCTGATGTGCGCTGCTCTCGCAATCTGCATGCGCAAGCAGGACTACTGTATAACTAGATAGTAGATATCTATGTTAGTTTTTGATCCAACGTTATCGTAATCACTTACTTTGTCCTGTGGCCCCATTAATATTAGTAATGTGATTGTAAATGTAGAGTGTGTGTTGTGAATTGGTGTGATCGTCAATCGGCGTCTCCAAGTTCTCCTTGCAGTTCTCGAGACTGGAGTTCTAAATTGTAAATTCATTTTTGGCTTATAATTTAAAAATATATTTGAGTTGGTTTAAGCCCTTAAATTGACTTAGCTATAACTACTCGAGCCGAGCCGAACCATAATTACACAAGCTGTAACCACTTGTTGGCACAGCTATTTATAGCTCAGGCCGCGGCTGGAACCGGCAACAAGCCGAACCTGCGGCAACACTATGTGTACCTGTTGTAAACGGATGGGCTGGTGGTATATAGTGTAGATGGTAGTATAGGAATGTACTATATAGGATATCTATGTGAGTAGCAGTGAATGCAATGTGTGATGGAGACGAGTGGGCTGGCCGAATGGTGTGCAATGTAAATGAGTGGGCCAGGGAGATGGGTATGATGGGGACGAGTGGGCCAGGGGTAGGGGTGCAATGGAGACGAGTGGGCCAAGGGTAGGGATGCAATGGAGATGAGTGGGCCGGAGGTATGGGGTGCAATGGAGACGAGTGGGCTGGTATGTGAAGCACAATGGAAGACGAGTGGGCCGGGGGTATGGGGTGCAATGGAGACAAGTGGGCCGGTATGCGAAGTACAATGGAAGACAAGTGGGCCAGGGGTACTGGGTGCAATGGAGACGGGTGGGCCTCATGATATTCCATCCGGTGGACAATGGAAATATTTGCCGGTATGGATGATTGTTACGACAAACGGTCGTGTGCGACTAGGATGATCTAAACAGCGACAACCACGACAGTGGTACCGAGTGCTGAGAGTCGTCGGCCTTTACAGACAAGCAAAGGTTGCGTACTCGAACGTAGCTCGTGGTGGTTAACGAGGGGTTACGCTGAGATGATAGCAGGGTTTACAGACAGTGAGAGGCGTCACTGAAGGTATGAGTCGATGTCGAGCAGGTAGCTTTAGCGGGACAAGGAGTTCAAGGGTAAACCTAGTAAGATTAAAGTAAGGAACGTCTAGTTTAATCTTCGACCTTATATAAGGCTACTCTTCGTATCTAAGCTCAGCCTAAAGCTGGGTTCTAATCTGCTTATCTACATGAGTCAGAGATAGCGTCCATGAGGCGGGCTTCTATCGTAGATAGGGTCCATGCGGTACCCTTCTATCAGTACATGAGGCAACACGAGGCTTGCCTTCTATCTTGATAACATAAATAGGTCTTCTAGACCTATGTCATCATGTCATGTCATGTGCGGTCCAGACCGCTTATCGTCTATCGTCATCTATCGTCATAGAGCTGGTGAGACTCCAGTATCGTCTATAGCCGTGCGGTGGCAGAGGGCTGTTCTGCTGGCGGGGGACTCGTGCCATGTTACTGTAACAATGATACAGATGAGCCGGAAGTCCGCTGTGTGATAGAGGTGAAGGTGAAATGGATGATACAGATGAGCCGGAAGAGCATTGTGATATAGGATGATGGAAATACCATCCGGTACAGCAACATTAAAAACATGAAGGTGAAATATATGAGGTGGGTAAGGGTATCTGGTGCATACAGAGTATACTAACCGGAGACGAGTGGGCTGAGGGATAGGGTGAAATATATGATGTGGGTGGCATGATACCCTATCCGGTGCATACAGAGTATATTAACCGGGAATAAACATCCGGTCCATCTGATATATACATCCAGGTCTATACCCATACAGTACGTCTATATCAAACAAGATTTACAGGCAATATATGTGACTCAATACATGGAGTTGCTAAATATTTACACGGTCATATTTTGCATACTCCGTGCTTGGAGTCCCAACAAAATTGTGGATGCTGTCTTGCATGTACCACGCAGTGACAATCCTGTTACCCTCTTCCACATTCATGTAATGTCTCACCAGTCGACATGATGAAGCCAATATCGAGCCAGAATCGTATAGAAACTTGATTCCAAGGTTCATGAAATCCATGACGACCAGGCGATAAACACCAGGAGTCATCATTATATCAAATGCTGCTGGTTGACATTTAGGATCTCTATGAGGGGGTGTCCGGCAATTGCATATGATTGATACCACATTAAAAACAGATGTCCAGCGTTGAAGATGATGGTGCATCTCGTCCAATTCATATCTTGCAGCCCATTTACCAAGCCTGACTTGAGTTTCCATTCCCGCCCAATAAAGATCAGGGTGCATGACTTGAAGTGCAGCAGAGACAATGATACCAGACCTTTGAAGGGATGCTGTAATGTTGTGACCAGCAGCACCTTTCAGTGCCGCTGATACCTCTGGCAAGAAGCCATCTTCCGGGTCAAGATTCAGGAAGCCGTGTTTCTACAATAATTACAACCAGAGATTTCAATGCATGTGGACCAGACGCACCTCTCTTCCTTGCTAAAACCATGCAGGGGATATATTGATGCAACCGGGGGTGATCATCCCATCTGGACTCATATAGACGTTGGACCAGTGGGTCCTCCATTGAGCAATCTTGCTTGTTGTGATTCTATGCTTCAACAAACCACTCATGGAATGTGTAGCACCATGAATATCTTTCTAAGTAATACATCCGGGTAAGATAAAAGGACAAATGGAAATGGATAAAGGATAAAGGACCAACCATCATCATAGCGGTCAGTGCTCCAGGCAAATACCAGACAATGATTCTACCGCCGGAATCAATGATAACAGATGGTGTTGTCAAGAAATGCTCCTCTTCAGGGGGGAATTTGTTGAAAAGAACCTCTTCTCGTTTCTCACTTCGACCGGATTCATCTTTGTCCAGGGTGTCATTGTATCTAACCATGTCTATTTTAAGATGAACTTTCTGCAGGTTAGTTGACCAGAACAGACAAATGTGCCAGAAGACCTACCGGCGTTAGAGTAAGCAGTGGCCATCACATTGGCTAGCTGCTCCAAAGCAATACAAGTGTCGATATCCAAGAGTCCAAGGTCCATATCCTTTACTGGTCGGTGAAGAATTTTAGAGGTGAAAATCTAATGCACCAATTCACTGGCAAGGTAGGTCTGGTACAAGGCCCAGTCAAGTGGAATTGTAACCATGGCTTGCCAAAACAATCAAGTGACAGGAAAGCACCACTGTTATATCCATTGGAGAAAATAGCTCCACATTCACATGACCTGATTGCATAGACGGACTTCATTTCCATTCAGGTAAATATGACATGATGGTATAATAGATTGGCCGGATACCGGCGGACATTGGGTTGTACTTTACTGTGAAGTGGATGCACTGTCATCTATGTGTAACTGGTCAATGAGTGCCTGTGAGAATGACACAGCCCGTGTGATTTCATCAATAGGCCCAACCAATCCGGTCAACCTATCACTTGATCGCCTAAGATTCATCATCCTTATCTGCAACATATCCAGCAACTCTCTCCTGATTGTTGTCCAGTGGCACTGCACATGAGATCTTGAACCAGTTATATCCGGCACATTATCCGGACCCTGCACAATATATGGGAGAAGACCGGTTTTCACATGATCAGGCTGTCATAGATGGTGTGAGTATCTGGTGCATCCAGTGATAACAAGATCTTATGGACTGACAAGGTGTGAAAAGTGCCATTCAACCAAATCCATAACATCTTGGACGGATGACTTGGGCAACATATCTGAAACCCTGCAACAACCAAGTGATTCCTTCCACCAGTCATTGAAGTAGTCCAGCATATGAGCAATGTCATAGTCATCGGATTTGTTTGAATCCGCAGAAAGGCGCAATGCCCAGATATCCTGCAAAATGGCATTGACATCCGGTCGCCGGTCAACCAATGTGTGTGCAGTCATGGTTGAGAGCACATCCTTGAGAAGTTGAGGAATAGTAGCGGACAACTGGGTGATAAAACATATATTGATGAAAGGTGTTGCAAAGGTCTATATGTCAGAGAAAAAGATGAGGGCATGGGAGTATCGGCATGGCTGGCTCCCTACCTCCATCTTCCATTTCATCAGGGTGTAGAACATCTCTGCATAACCAGGTATGGCAGTGGCAAAACTCTTGTCAACATACAGGCACATGGCCAGCATCCGGGAATTGGCATAGAATAAGGCACAAGAGATATCTGCAGCTGTGATGTGATTGCCCTTAGCGGCAATGATGACTTGGCTGGAGGGGATGAGAGTTACAGTATTGTCCATGGAGAGGAATGTGAGGCTATAGTGTGACCGACACACTAGGATTATTTACATGCCAAACACAAGCATATATTACCTAACAGGTATTATCAACTGGTAACCACAATTATGTAACTAACCTGGCACCGGTACTTCTAGCTGAACGATCATTTTCCGAAAAGAATCCTCTGCATGTGCTGCTAGTTGGTCATATATGTGAGATTGTCTGGCAGCATAACATGTATGTCCGGTGAGCCCTGCAGAAGTAGTGTTGTGCATGTGACAGAGCCATTGCTTGGCTCTGTGGCTGAAGAAATTAATTGACCACTGCATTTCATGTTTGACAAGAATAACCTCCTCATTCCAGCGATCGCGCAGTGCTTTCCTCCGGAGCCAATTAACCCAGTAAACTATTATTAGAACATGTGAGACCGGATGACCGGATATATCCAGATGCACCAGACACTCACATTCAGTCATCCAGTCATTTTCTGATGTGTCTCCCTGAACATCTAAGGACCAGAACCATGAAAGAGTGGTATCCCTCTGACCACGTGCATTTGGATCGGCCACTGCAGAGCTGGCTTTCAGGTCTTCTTTCTTTAAAGGAAGGTATTTCTTCAAGAGGTCGTGGTCAGGGAGTTTGGCCAGTTACGACCAGCATTTCGAATATATACTAGCATTGAGATTGACTGCTGTTTCCACTGAGCGAACTCGAGTCCATGCCCTAGTAGATGAAGCCTGTGACTTGGCTGACCGGACAGTATTGCAGAATAAAACAGCTTTATCTTCTAAATGAACTCTAATGGCATGGAGTGCGTCATTGGCCTGGCCTTCTCGCAGGGCAATTTCTTCTTTCATGAGATTGGTGAGACCTAACTCCCTGCACCTCACTGCACCAATGTTGGATGGCAGAGGTATGACAGTGAGCTCCAGTTGAAATATGGAAGTATTGTGTATGTCCAGATCAGGATTTTGATCTTCGTTAAGATCGGAGTAATCTTCACAATCATTGAGTGGATTACGAACAATAACCGGAAAATCCGGGTCATTGACATTGACTCCGACTCCAAGATACGTAGGTGCCATCTTGAGAAAGCTCATGATCTGAGTGTGAAGCTTATCCCGGCAATGCACCACTCTCAACAATTGCAGGAGTTCCCATGCCCCTGGCCGATGGAGATATTATATTCAAAGGTGCCCAGAGGGTCTCCATGATCTCTCCATCTATCCTGCCAGTCCCATGGATGAAATTTGATGCATACCGGACAAAGCAGCTGTCTTGATGTCCATGTACATGCCACAAACCAATTCCAGGAATGATATCCATACCTATGGGGATGGAAAGATACATGCTGGAAGCAATCCGGTCCTTCAAATACTTGTTATACTGACAATTTATGTCATAGAAAGTGATGGCGCAAGAGATTCTGTCAGTCTTATAGTTGAGCGCTTGACTTAATGCATAGTCCATGTTCATCTGCCTGATTATTCCAGGTAAGAGTTGTAAGATCAGCCATTGATGTGACCAGATGCAATATGTACCAACCTTTCACCTTTCTGAAAGTCCACCATGGAATGTGGGACAAAACATCCATGCTGTGCACATGCACATCCTCCTATACCGGTGGCTTCCAGCCTTTGCCGTGAGGCGTTTGCTTGATTTACTGCCTGGTGATTATTGCAATCTGACCTTTGGACATTGTCTTGCGCAATAGCCAAATGGCTCTTGTATCTTTCATCGGAGACCATGAACCCCAGACCATCCATCAATGATACTTCATCGGATGCATTCACCGGATGCATGTGCTCAGCTTTGAAATTTCCATCCATGACCAAATATCTAGTCATGAGCCAGGAAGGTGTATCGTCGGGCTGGGCGACTGTACCAGTAGACAGATCCAAGTTTATACCCAGTTGCGGACATGCCAGGCAAAATAGGGCGAGATCACTGTCCTTTGGCTGGTCATCTTTGTGGGCAAATCCATGCCACTTGTAAAGCTTGCATTGTCGCCACTGCCTGGTAGCTCTCATGAGCTCTCTATAGCGATCCTATAGATATCGTTCTTTAATGACCAGAATGTGAAGTACAGAACAAAACCCAGCTCACCGGAACCATCAGTGGAACAATGCTCGAGGTTAGTCTGCAAATTTTGCTGTAGTAATTCATGGCCGATGTACCGCACTCGAGATTGTCTAACAGAAAGTCGTCCATGACAGCGAATGTGAATGCAGTTTTTGGTCTGGTGAAAGATGCCGGGAACAAGCCTGCTTAAAAGAGCTGTATGTCTCGGCTGAGAGCACCGGGGCATTGGCAATAACATATGGAAAGGGAGTGAACGCTGGACTTGTCTACTACAGTTATTGCCGGATGATCTGGGTCTCTGACCGGTTGAATGAAAGGTCCCTCTGGATAATCGTCATCTATATTGTCATCGGTATCTGACCACTGAAAGAAGTCTGATGAGTCATCGGTGCTGCTGGGACATGGAGTGCCGTCGTGAGCAAGGTGAATGTGCAGGCCAACTTCAATGAGTGAAGTTTCTTGAAAAAATGATCCGGTCCATTGACTGATGTGATGGAATGGATGTCTTTGATGTCGAATTCTGCAACAGTCTGTGCAAAAGAGTGGCTCATTGAAACAGCCATAACATCTATACACCCCATCCTTCTTGCAGACTGAGCAAAGTCGGTTGGCTGGAGGGACTTCTCTGATCATGAGTGAATTTATGTAGTCCTTGAACTTGCATTTCCATTGCCAGAGATATGCATTCTGACTCTGTATGGTCCAGTCAGACTTGGGAAATGAAGATAACTGTTGCTTGCCTGAGATTTGGGAAATTTAGGCTGGGGGATGTCACCTTGGTCAAAGTCAAAGTCGGCACCTTCATAGAGCAAGTGAGGGGACCCAGATTTATGCTTCGAGGGAGATTTTGTTGGTGATGATGTTACCAACTTTGTTTTCTGAGCCCATGAATCTTTCACCCAAGATGACCTGGATCCTCTGGTTGTAGTTTTTTCCTTGAGCTTATACAGCTGAGGCAATCATTTCTTTGTAGGAGGGGTGTATGTGATTCCCTTTTGTTTGGTATTTGCCATATTGACTGGAAAGGATCAGTGTGCTGTAAACTTGATGACTCATAGCCTAGCACATGACTTCACTTCGGTGCCTTCCATCAATTCTGGACTCCAGGTGATTTGAACTGTCGAGATTATCACATTTTCCCTTCTTGGTCATTGAACGACCCAGTCATCAAAGGACCAATTGATCCGGTGTTGTCCAGACTCCAAATGGTTTGACCAGTCGGGATTACCACATTGTTCCTGTGATCTCACGGAAGATCTTACAATGTTACCTGTATGGGATATATTAAGGTTGGAGTCATTGAGGTTGCCATAGTTGCATAACATAACAAACACCGTAATCCTGCCATTAATCTGAGTCGCATGGATTTCATGTTCAAGTTAGATGACAATTGACTGGATAAAGTACGTCGACCAGAGGTTACATTTCAAGGTTTAAATACTTCTTTCTAGCCAGCATTCTGGAGTGTTGGTCTTAGAAAAGTGATTCAGTTAATTAAGAGGGTTGGGCAGTAATATATACTTCTTTTGATTAGATGATTGACGAGTCTGGCAAAGTAAATACATTGATTAAACTCCAGTCGAGGGCACTGGCATTGCAAAACATGCTCTGAGAGAACAGTTCAAACCAAATAACCAACTCTAGAGACACAAACAGGCTTCTTGTTTGATCTTCAGGACACCGGCTGTTTGTGTCCACATTCATGCTGGCCTCCAAAGTCATTTGTGATAATACTTACTTGAGCAAGTCGTGGAATATGATTGCACAGGGCCTGTATGCAGTATTTGAGGGCTGTATGCTGCCCATATACTATATAATACAGGTCTAAGTCCATATGCTTTTACAGTTCTAAATTCTATGCATCAGAAACACATGGGATGTTAAGGGAATCATACCAATGAACGAGTATTGGACAATCTCTTGTTTGGTTTGCAGTCACGTACATCGGTTATGTAACCTATTACTGTGAGATACACATGCATCCTTTCTTCTACCAAGATGTCAACTGCTCCTCAACTACTTTGCCATGCCCCGATCCAACTCATCAGTCGACAGCCCAAAAAAGACCAAGCAGAAGAAATTGACTGAGGAAGAGGTGCTGGTCTTAAAATCCCACCTAGAAGAATGGAAGGAAGCCGCTGCCAACGATAGAAAAAAGATTCTGAAGGCCATCATAAAAGAGGCCAAGGTGCATGCCCCTGCTATGGATGACCAGTCATTGAAGAACAGGAAATATGTGAGCAGTTGAACTTCAAATTTTATACATGATGACTGACTTTTATCATGATGTATTGAGATGTACTGGGACTGGTTATATAACCAGAGACCTGAAAAGACTCGAGAAAAGAAAGCCAGCAAGTTGGGTCAGAAATGGACTTCCCGGTCGGTCATAGAACAACTGCGCAAGGAGGAGATCATTGAAAAGACCGGAGCAATGCCAGAATCGAAGAAATTTATTGAAAGATATCAGACAACACTCACTGCAGTCATGGCCAGTCTATCTAAAGAGGAGCTGGAGGAGGCTCAGAACACTGCAATTGAGTGGTCTGCCAAGGCTCCTCCTGCAGCCGTCCAGGCGGACTTTGCAAAGAAGAAAGCACCCGGTATGATGAAGGATCTGGCAACCAAGTTGTAGAAGCAGGCCGGTATGAGAATTTTCATATTATCAGCATGGAAAACAGAGGAAGACAAAGTGTGGATCAATGGGTGAGTTCCACTTCACACTCAACCGGTAAAGATATACTGATCCGGTTGGAAGAATTGACTTCAATGAAAAGTTGGAGGGCAATAGTTTTACCGATATGAAGGACTGGAAGCCCATGTTATCAGAGTGGAATGCCTATGCTGGAGAAGAGTTCAGTGAGCTTCTGTTTGAAAATATTGCACCATTCAGTCAAGTACTTATCCGACCTGGGGTGATACCAGAAGTTGACCTCAATAATGATGACGATGATAATGAGGGGGAGGTGAAGAAGAGCAGGAAGAAAGGCAGAAAGAAGGACAATTATCCTTTGGAGGTGGATAGCTATGGGCTTCCGGTCATACCAGACATCAAAGAGCTTAACCTAGAGAGTAAAAAGTGTCTTATAAGAACGTTCCTCACAAAACACTACAGTCAGTTTCACAAATGATGCATCTGGAGAGTTGATCGACTGACCAGCTATTTTTCAGGATTGTGCAGCCAACAACCAAAGGTGTCTGTTCCTTGGGCCTCAGTGAGGATGGCTCAGGGTGACTTTATTGCAGCCAAGTTTTTACCTACCGGCTGGAAGCTCGACGATCCATCAAAGATTCGGTTGGCCGATGCCGACCGGCTGTTAGAGTTGTGGTGTCAAAGACAGAAGGACCAGGTTCGCCCAACCTTTAAATTTAAAGGCTGGGAAGGTGATGATAAGACAATGAGAGAACCGGCAGAGATAATCTCCGGCAAGGGTTCTGACACGAGACCCAGGGTTCCAGTGAAAAAGTCGACCGGTAAGCGCACCGGGAGGGTGGAACAGGTGTTGAGTAGTGAGGATGAGGACAAGGATGATGAAGAGGATAAGGATAAGGATGACAATGACAATGACAATGATGAAGATGAAGAGGAGAAGGTCGACAATGACGATGATGATGACGATGATGATGGCCCATCGCCACCTCCAAAGTCAAAACCTACCAAAAATTGCCCACCGGTCAAGAAATCCATACCTGTCCCACCACCACCTTCAAAGGCAAAACGGACCAATATGCTCTGCAGGGCTAGTCCGGCTTCAGAGCAGGAAGATACTCGCCCACCGGTCAAGAAATCTATACCGGCCCCACCACCACCTTCAAAGGCAAAAACAGACCAATACATGCTGCAGGGCTAGTCCGGCTTCAGAGTAGGAAGATACTAGCCCACCAGTCAAGAAATCCATACCAGTCCCATCACCACCTAAATCAAAATCAACCCAAAAGAGGGGTAGGGTTGTTCCCATTCAATCTGATTTAGAGTCGGATGGCCGGCCACCAGTCAAGAAATCCAAGCTGACTGCAAGTGGAAAGGGACAGGTAGAAGACAACACCAGCACCGGTTCTGCGCAATCAACCGGTAATAATGACAATGATCCTCTGCCTTTGCAACATCCTTCTAGAAGTCGTGCATTTGGCCCTACATCAGGTGTCCATGCCAAGAATAAACCTGACAAAACACCAGTGCCCAAACTAACTCCCCCTGCCCCAAGAAGGGCCACCGGCAAGAAAGCCAAAGAACCTGAAGCCCAGACTACCAATCCAGAGCCAAAGCGCTCTCATAGAAGTACAAAGGCCTCTTATAAAGCTCAGTATATGTGATTGTAGTAATTTGGATCTTTGCACGCAAGTATTCTAGTGACAGGTGTAGATAGCATTTGACCAGAAATATATACTTCATGTTGAAAGTCGAGATATCGATATCAGTTGACATGCCAACAATAACTCTTGTGTGCAGTCAAGAACTTGCTCTCTGGCAAAGGCTTTGTCCGGCGACATTGCATGACCAGCCCGGTCCATATCCAACCAGTGCATTGCTACACGCAAATCACCTACAGCCCGTTGAATTACAAATCCAATGGGATCTGGTCGACTGATGGCGACTAAATTTAAATGATCAGAACAATATCTGAAAAAGCAAGAAGGCTTACAAGACTGATCCAGATCACCATGCACCGGATCCATCTTGAAACCCATCTCTAAAGGGTTTTCTTCTGCTGGAATATTATTCCCTATATCCAGTGAATCATCTGCCAGATATGTGTTGAAGCCCATTTCCAGAGCCCCGTCTCTTAGTCAAATATTGTTTCAAATGAGTATGTCAATTTATGGGATGTATATCCCAGCGACATGCCTGTGTTGCCAGCCAGATCACTGACATCAATATCAAACCCCAAATCGAGCACATCCCCATCATCCGGCTGTGGAGGAAATCCCAAGTCCAACATCTCACCATTTGACTGGTCATCATCAGACAAGGTGGGGAATTGCATATCCAACATGTCTGATTGTGGTTGGTTGTGGTTGTCGGTGGTCATAATCAGACGAAGGAAATCCCAAGTCCAATGACCAGCCATCATCTGCTGTTTCAAAGTTCACCATCTTCAATCTTTTACCGTCTTTCCACCTGTCATGAGCCAACAGGACATCTAGATCTTTAAAATTTATCTGAATTGTCCTTGCCATCGCTCAGCATGAGATGAACTCACATTCGCCCATGCTTGAACAAACCATGAAAGGGTTGTGGTAAGTGCGCTCCTCTCGCCCTGGCTCCAAGATGCTAAATACTGGAATGCCGGATAATGTCAACCGGTAAGTGGTGGGATGTGATGGTTTCTTACCTACATCCTCACTAGATACATGTAGATTATGCTGAGTAATTGCCGATGATCGCATCCTTCTTTTTTTCTGGAATGGGTCGTACAAATCCACGGTCTTCATGATATCACCGGAAGAATCAATGTTCTACAGAAGGCTGTGACCGGATGATTGACTCACAGGTTGGTTGGCAACAACTGATTGCTGATGACGTGTCAACAATGAGACATTTAGAGCTAAAAATAGACGATGACAATGATGAGGTGAACAATGGACTTGGATATGTCCGAGTCGGCCCGGATAGCCGGTTATTGAAAATTTTATAAGTGTGGTTGTTTTACACATCTCTTCCAGGTGACTTGTCCACTAGCTCTCTACTGTAATCGTCTCACTACCATGTCTTCTCACTCTGCTTCTGCTGCTGCCGCTGCCAACCAGGCTCTCATCACTCTTGTTTCCCAGCTCGATGAGATGGTTCAAGATGTTCTCTGGTCACAGTCGCAGGACGAGAAAATGGACTTGAGCCGCAAGATTGCTCACGAAGTGGTATGTTTGTCATCCTGTCAGTTGCCTGTATTGATGCTAGGGTTCCAGAATGTTGCAATTCGTTCATATGGGAGGGACACTTCATATGTTCCCCCTGGCCTGCTGTCACTTGCAGCTGAGATCTTTCGTGCTCAGAGGCGCACTGCACAATTGGTGGTAGTACCGGATTGGAACTGTCTTGGTAACAATCAGGATATGTGCATGAAGCATCCATTGTACAGTAAGACATTGGGTCATGCGCCACCTGTTTCACCTGCAGCTGCTGGTAAGTATATTCCTCCTCATCCCACCTGTACTCACACCTGTGACTGCACTAGCTCCTGCACCTGCACCTGCACCTGCACCTGTGCCGGTGTGTGTGAGGAATGATAGCTAGATGAGAAGGGGAGAAAGGGGGAGAAAGGGTGAAGTGGGGTAAAACTCAAATAGACCTCTGGACACGAGTATAGATTCGGCTCAAGGGGATTGCTACTGGGAACGATTCCTCTATGTAAAATATGGAGGGAAAACTTAGAAACTGGTAAGGGTAACTGAGAATGGAAGAGTGCGCAACATTGCACTTGACCCGATGCGAGTGTGAGCAAGCCGCCGAAGCTACGATACAATGTGCGACCGAGCGGCCGAAAGTTTGACGGAGCGCGAAGATGCAGAGAAAAGCCGATGATTTATATGAATGCACGTCTAGCAGATATGCGAAGGGGATGCAATGCGACAATAAAGAGGGAGGAGAGTTCTGATGATAGATGGGATGAGCGATGTGTGAACAATAGTGTGACCATTAATACAGCGCGTGATGTAGTTGGCCGAAGGTTTTTAGACTTAGAGTCTGAGTGATGCGTGCAAGTGGATGATAATTTCGATAGCGGGAAAAGAAGATACATGAGAATTCCTAAGTCTAAAGTATATATGGTAGTGCGCGTAGTGCTGTTTGAAACCGAGAAGATAACGGTAATACATATTAAGGGTCTATAATGCAAGTAATGAAACATACACAATATCACCTTCGGAAATATAATCAGTCTAATGTGAATGAGATAAAATACGCACCAATGGACAAGCGGAGGACATGGATAGGACGGAGGAAGGACGCGCGACGGAACCGACAAAAAGCGGATGCAAACCGAAGCATGCGCGTGAGCCGCGGCCGTCGGCTGATGATAGGAGGGATGCGCTGTAGAGATACAACAATTGCTGGGCACTACACAAAGTAAGTAGCCAGCAATATAAAAATGTTGTGGTCATGCACAGCCTAGTCTGCTTATACTTGCAAGACAAGTGTGTTCGACCCGAGGGGCTAGCTATTTGGAATGGTCTGTAGTTAGTGAAATGATAAAACGGTCAAAAGTCCGAGCACGGGAAACAAAGTCCGAAGGTATAACTATGATGTCTGATGCCAAAGCGTCGGGTCCGATGTTTTCAGGTTTCGGGTTTCAGGTTAGCGGGTTTCGGGTGTGGGTTTAGCAGGTTAGCGGGAATGGCGATAGCGAATGTCGGGAAAGCGAGCGGTATGCAGATATATGATAACAACGGGTATTTCGGATAGAAAGAGCGGTAATATTCACAATGTCAACTAAGAACTACGAAATATCGGGTTTGACCACTAAGTATCGGGGAACGGCTCCCTACTACTTGGATAATGAAAATACTCATAGTCAGTCCAATATATATATAAGTACGTAGAAATCCGGAAGGCCGTAGGCGAAAGTAGTGGCCGACGATTTCAGGTCCGAAGTACATGTAAACTAACACGAGGCGCTGCGGATGATGGGAAAACATGTAATAGCGCTTGCTACGACATGAGTAATGTGTGAAATAATCAACTACACACCTAGTGGGGCTAGCAAGACTGGACAGGACACGGATAGGACAAGTGTGCAGGAAAATATTGGGTCCGATGTGGCTGAAACGTCGGGTCCGCTAGTCAAAGTGTCGGGTTTGCATCAGGTTGTGCGGGTTACATCGGAAAGTAGCGGGCATTGAACGTGTATCAGGAAATCAGTGAATACGAGCCTAGCGCGAGCTCGAGTGCTACAGCGCGCCATGGTAATGATAGCATGCGCTGCGGTAGGACCTGAGGGACACTGCAAAAATAGCCTCTACGAGGCTACAAGGACTACAAGTCCTACACCGGTACCTGCACCTGCACCTGCACTGGTATCTGTGCCTGCACCTGCACCGGTACCTTCCTCTGCACCTTCGCATGTACCATGGCGCCACGTATCAGCATTCACATACCCAAAGATGCAGCACCCGGTGGGACAGCAGCAGCTGGGCCATCAACAAACCGGAAACACCGGCTCAGCACTAGCCCCCCTTTGCCTCGGGTCAACTGGGCCCGGAAACCTGCCCCAAAGTTGAAGAAAATCTTGTCTGACACTGACACTACTGACAATGACAAGGCAAAGGGGAAGGGGAAGGGGAAGGGGAAGGCACCAGAAGATGATGGCGATGAGGATGGCGAGGGGATCGATGTGGATGATCTTCCAGACGTTGAGGTGAGTTTGTTTCTTGTGAGATATTCAACATTACTAATGCAACAAGCAGCCCCGGAAATCAACTCGTAGGGCTGTAATCCCTGCAAAAAAGAAGGGCAGTGCACCGAAGGCAAGTCAGCAGTTTGTGATTCAGGACAATGAAGAGGATGAATTGGAGGATGAGGATGATGATACACAAGGAAGGCCAAAGGCAAGTTCATTTTTCTTTACATTTGCCAGTCTATTGCTCATCCGGATGCAGGCCATTGTCAGACCAGGGAAACGACAAAAACTGGTAGGATTTGCTTGTCATAACACTGGTGATATATAACACTAACATTATTGAATAGTCCATGCAGCCCAAGGGCAAGGCCACTGGCAAGAAGGGCAAAGTCCCAGAACAGGTGTGTCTTCCGGTCCATACCATGCTTTACCAAACTAATTCTCCATAGCCCCGCATTGATGAATCCCATCCGCCTTGTGACAGATGCCGGGCAAAGAATGTTGAGTGTTGCCCCCGATTGATGAAGAAAGGCGATGTCGCCTCGACTTGCTCATTATGCTATCTGTGGAAGATGGCATGCATCCAGACTAACACAGAGAGTGCACACACTACCTCTGCCACCACCATTACCCCCATCACTGTCACTGCACCACCTGCAGCCGCAGTCGCCACTCGCTCCAAGACCATCCGGTCCAAAGCCACCGGAGAGAAGATGGGTGGGAAATCCAAGGCGAAAGGCAAGTCTTTTGTTTCCGGTTGCTTTCTATTCTAATTTATTCTTGTAGGCAAGGATATCCAGCACCCTAGTCCTATCCAAGAGGAAGAGGACAGCGTTGATGATGTCCAGATGGTTGGTGCCGGTGGTTCTATACAACAACCGGCCCCTTTGGCATCTGCAAACGACTTCCCTCCTGATCATTGGATTGAGCCCGGCAATGACGAGATGCAACCTTCATCACCGGCCATGGCCTCAGAGGACGATATCCGGTTTTCGCCGTTACCTGTCGTTTACAACCAGCCCTCCCCTGTCACTCCTTCCGGACCCAGTCAATCCACCCAGTACCCTCTCTCTCATGACCAGATGGAGGCCATGTTGGCCCAAATTCGCATTGATATGGAGGAACTGTGCACACACAATCGAGTGGAAATTGACATCCGGCATGATCGCTTGGAGCATTGCATGGACATCGCCGAGGCATCTGATAGCGCCATGTCCATGCAGATTGATGACATAGGGCGGGATATGCGTGTGCAGAAGGGACTTCTTGCTGAGTGCACAGCTGAAGTAAGAGGCATTATTAGGTATCTGAGGGAGCAAAGATCCAGTCAAGCGACAGCGTCAACTCCACCAGCATTTAATCCACCCCCCATGACAGCCCACAACCCATCTATCAGTGCTTTTGCTCGCACTGTGACCAACAATGTGTTCACTCCGGATATCTCTTGGATGGGTGCCCAGACTGGTGGTGATATGTTGGGTGATACTGCAGATGGCTCACTGGTCGCAAGGCACAACCGGGTGCCATCCACTTCCACCATCATCCCATCACTGACCATGAGGGAATTCGGCCCATCTGTTCCTCCGGTTGGTGCACCACCTGTGCAATCTCCTATTCTCCCGGTCGCTGGGCCATCAAATGTGCCGGCTGATGCGCAGTCCATCTCAGCTCCTTTGCCACGCCCGCGATATGGACCTCTATCACACCAAGGTCGGTCAGTGAGCGCTAGGTATCCAAGCAAGCCTTCTGGTGATGGGCCGACATAATACTAGCCTATATCATTCATGTTTTTGTATGTACTAGTCATCTACATTGTGTTGTCAACCTTGGGTGCTTTCAATGTTGAAGATAATGCATCATATAATCGCACAACCTGCATTTCAGTAGTGAGAATGTTGCTGTACCGGATGGTATTTCCATCATCTTGTAAGCTCTTGCGGCTCATATGTATCATCCATTTCACTCTATCACACAGTGGACGTCCGGCTCATCTATATCATCCATTTCACCTTCACCTCTATCACACAGCGGACGTCCAGCTCATCTGTATCATCCATTTCACCTTCACCTCCATCCCACAACGCTCTTCTGGTTCATATGTATCATCCATTTCACTCTATCACACAGCGGACTTCCGGCTCATCTGTATCATCCATTTCACCTTCACCTCTATCACACAGCTGACGTCTGGCTCATCTGTATCATCTATTTCACCTTCACCTCTATTACACAGCAGACATCCGGCTCATCTGTATCATCCATACCGGCAAATATTTCCATTGTCCACCAGATGGAATATCATGAGGCCCACCTGTCTCCATTGCACCCGGTACCCCCGGCCCACTTGTCTCCATTGTACTTCGCATACCGGCCCATTCGTCTCCATTGCACCCCATACCCCCGGCCCACTTGTCTCCATTGCACCCTTACCCCCGGCCCACTTGTCTCCATTGCACTCCTACCCTTGGCCCACTTGTCTCCATTGCACCCCTACCCCTGGCCCACTCGTCCCCATCATACCCATCTCCCTGGCCCACTCATTTACATTGCACACCATTCGGCTGGCCCACTCATCTCCATCATGCATTGCATTCACTGCTATTCACATAGATATCCTATATAGTACATTCCTATACTACCATCTACACTATATACCACCGGCCCATCTGTTTGCAACAGGTACACACCACCTTGCAGCCCACTCATCTACCATGGTACAATTGTTGCCATGGGCCCACATGGGCTGGCCCGCCTCTATTGCTACATTGTCACCCTCAGCTGTCCGTCTAATACGAGTGAATTCACTGAAGGGGCTCCAGCACCAATGACTGTGGTTTATTAGATATTAGATCTTAGTGGCCCATGAAACACTGGTTTTCAAATCAAATTTACTAACTTTTTTTGCTTGGTTTTGCACCGCAATACTTGGGCCTTACTACTTCACCCAATCCGACTCTTGAGGTGGGACCAAATATCCATTTCCATCATGCAGATTCTGGCAATGGAAGCGCTGAACGGCGGTATATCTAGCATGAAAGTATCGTTATACACTGCTAACATCCCCCACTCCCTGATGCTCATCCCTCAAATATGACCGTTGTCTCAAATGATCCCAGTTGGTGGCCCGTAATCAATTCAAATATTATTTCCAGCTATTGGATCGGTTCGTAGCATCAAGATGTCTACTAGTTCTAACGTTGACTTGCAGTTTCGCAGTTGCTGCCGGCACCGTGGTGGTGTACGATTGGGGTGAGTGAGGTAGTGTTCGAAAACCGCTCATATTTCCAGCACTAACACTGGGACAAGAGGTATGTAGGTTGATATTTTTGCCATAGCAGCTACCTCACTAAGAAAGGTGTCATAGATTGAACTGATATGGGTGAGTGACAAGAGTCCTGATAGTATCAGAAGCAAAACAGGAGAATAAAATGAATCCGCGATAGACGCAACACTGATCTCTCATGATTGTGCTGTATTTGGCTGTTCGTACCTCATGTTGTTCTATAGGGTGGTTGGAAAATTGTGCTGACACCCCGATGTTCTAGATACGCTATATTGGAATACCATATTCTCTGTATGTGTCGAGGCCAAAAAAATTGACACTATGCTAATAGCTCATCTCTGACAATCAGTGCCAATATTTTGGGTATGTCTCATATGTGCTGTGTTCAGCCCTTCTGACCGGTGGCACACATAAAATATGCTGTTGGTCCCCATGACAGATGTAGTGAGTATTCTATAATTATCTCAGTCCTACTATCCAATGAATACACTCATTTCTAGGGGTGAGTAAGATTCTGACCATTGAACTTGGCTCTACATAATGACTCGATAGGTATGAGCTGGAACTTTCTATACTAGTATGAGGGTGTTTACTAAGTGGGTATTTCAGGCAATATCACATACTACGCACAGAATGGAACAGATGTGGTTATATATGCCATGTTGGGCAGTGAGTTCCCTAACTGCAATATTTCTGTGATATTGACTTGACTAAAACACGATGTAAGTCATCATGATTACTCATTTGCATGCCATGTATCAGGGATCTAGAAAGATGCTCATCTTCCTTGTCATTACCTTTCTGACTGTTATCATTACCTGTGCAGTAATCGGGGCAATAATACTCGAGCATATTGTAGGGGGTAAGCTTTGCTGGTTGACTTGAAGAACACAGCTAATTGGACGAACACCAGAGGAATTGATACTCTCTGGCATGTACATGTGCGAGTATGAATATGAAGGGGACGATGTCCAGCTTCTGTCTATAACATATTGGACACTCTACACTGTTTGGGAGGCTCTCGCACTGTGTCTTTCAGTTTGGATTGCTGTAAAACACTTCTGTGACCTGCGACGACTCAACCCATCGACAAGATCAACCATTGAGGACTGTTTCAGAATGCTAATAAAATCTCACGTGCTTTATTTTGCAAGGTGAGCTTGTGATGTGAATGTGGCCATCTTTTCTGCTCAAGTTCCATACATGTTAGCTTTATTGGCATCTCTTTCGTTGAGCTCGCTAATCTCTCTCTATCATTCGTGGTTCACTGACCTTTCGCTTATATCTGCTTATAACCACTACTCATCATTTCTGTAGGAATATTCTATGGCAGCTCAGATAGCACATGATGGTGCTTTTAAAATTGTATTGGTCGTGCAGATATTTGTATTGGGACCACACCTCATCCTTAGCATTCGAGAACATCACGCCAAACTCGTGGTGAACTCTGATGCAGAAACTAGCATGAATTCAATTGTCTTCCAGGAGCATATACAGATATCAACTAGCAGTACTGTGTAGGGACTTGCAGAGTGGCCTGGAGGGAGGAGAAATTTGGTTGAAGATGCGTCGTGGTATTTATTTAAGACAAGCGGTGATTTTCGGTCGTTACCTTTTATTGGTACACTCATGTCATTCCACTACAAAAGTAGAGATTTGTACACTATATTTGCACACTCTTTCTCCTCATTCACTTTTGAAAATAAGCACACACGGAACAATGCAGTATATCGTTGATTGTGAGCAAAAAGATCAGTTCTGAGATCCAGAACTGTGTGAGAGAGCAAGACCTTGGCAGTCATTGAAAGCAGTTGCGTAAGCTAGTCTCAAAGGAAATTGTCTGTGTTTTGTTGTCCAACTCGTGCAGTAAGGATGAAAAGAAAACGTGATACATGGAATACAGTGGTTTTTAATTGTTGTATTTCCAATAGTGTTTGATCTCATTGATGCTGACTCGGACTGAGCCATGGAAAGTGCAGGTAGTAGCTATGTACGGCTGATAGTGTCGCGGAATAAAATGGAAGAGTCCCTTGCAGGTGGGGAAAAGGAGGGCACACAAATGCATTGCAAATACACAGCACATTATAACGGGGTGGACACATTGAGCCGCCGGCTATTGGTGCTTATCTATGTTAGAGATATCCTCAGTGTTGGGTAGAACGTGGTTGCACACAGCAAAGACGTGTGAGGTACAGCGAGCATTAGTGATACACAATTTTATTCCATCATTAAATTTGATATGATATATGGGAATGATGACTGTGCTGGCACAAATAGGATTTGCATGTTTGAATGGTAGAAAGTGTGGATATTCTGGGATCGAGATGTCCTCATTTCAATCATGATGCGTGATGCATGATGTATGGGGGTACTAAGATTCGATGTTCACATCGGTGGAGGGAGTTCCACTCGTTGAATCCACACCAAATTGACAAAAGACAGTCTGCTGGCATTGCAGATATTATATGGTCAGATGCGAGGCTATTGAGGGGATTCTGGTGTATCAACGGCGGATAGGTTCCATAAGGAACGATATTCAGCATAAAGAAGCAAGCCGTCTTCCTACTGACCTTTCAGATTTATTTGTCCCATATCACATCCTCACACACAATGTGTTTCTCTTTTGTGATTGTCCTCGTCGTCACTACTGCTTTGGTGCCATCAAGCTCCGCCACCCCAATTGAGGCTGGTGCTGGGCACTGTTCCATGTTTTGCTTGCATAGCAGTCAATGCAAGGACTGCCTTTATGGGACTTGCATGAGTATCAGTAATTTTTGGATTTGATAACATGTCTCACCTGCATGACAGTACTTTCCTTTCTGCACAATAGTGAGTTATATCTTTTGCTTTCGCATTGGTGCAGTATGGCTGTTGGTACTCACGTGCGAGTTACTAGTGATTTCTAGAGTTGATCAACGCGCTGTCAGGAAAACATCGGTGGAGTGGGTGTGGTTTTCGTTCGATTGGGAAATGCTAGATCAGACGTGCAGGGATAATACTATTTGCCGTACAGATCAGTCTACGGCACATAGTGACTTTGCTCATGCTGGATCGCTGTGATGGATATGGGCCTACAGGTCGTACAATTATATTTATGAGTATTGGCATTGAATGAAAACACACCTAGGCCCTTCATACAACTCCCTACTTCAACTTTCGACTCTGATTGTTTCTGAAAATGGCCAACAAGATCTGGATGAACATGATGTTAACAGAACAGCTGTTTCTGATTATCGGCTAGAATACATGCACCTGTAGAACACTCATTCGTATATGTGCACACGAGTACATTGGACACGTTGTTATCATATCAATCGTTGATAATGAGTGTGACGGATTCTTGCTCATGCATACCAATAGTTAATGTACAGCTGCAACCAGTATTGAGCAACCATGTGGTCGCGGTAATGTCAGTGCCAATAATGAGGTTTTAACTCATATGGAGACTTGGAGATGACTTGGAGAATTTGAGTGAAACACGAATGTTCCAGCAGTATAGTTGAGATTCCTATCCAATCAGTGTGTCGACATGACTCGTGGACTAGCAACCTTGGTAAGTACTGGCGGAGTTATGTGAAGTAGCACTGGGCACTAGCTATGCACCTAGTAGTCTCCGACTCCATTTTCTCACGATATGCTCGCTCACTTTTTCCATTAGCAAGCTCAAGACCGAGTAGACCAACACAAGACCAACATGTATGTAAGTTAAACAGGCCAAATAGGCACATCATGCTAGTACTGATGATGTTCCAATACAAGTCGCTGCCTCGACCCAGTTTGGTGTTCCTGCTGCGGGCTGCGGCTTAATGGTACCAGGAATATTTGATCTGCCGAGACAGTTCAATGATATCCAATAGTTCATTCAAGATGCTCACAAAAATATGTATTGAAGTAGCTTTTCCGTTCAGATATCATATTGCATGCCCAATGCATGCTTATTTGGATCTTGTCGAGACTTGAGCGTTGTTGAAAGTGGGACTAAATAGCTGCAGGATCTAGGTGCATTTTTATTAGGTCCATCGTGTGCATACATGCTTATATTTGATCTTCAACTTGAAGCCTGTCTATACCACACCTTCAATGTGAGGCTGCGCTGTGGACTGCCCCTTGATAGTATCTTTGTGCATCTTATCTTAGTCTAACATATGTTACCTATATTTCACAAGAATTTCACGTCAATTCCAATATGCAAAGAGCTGCAAGTGGACCCATTTTTTCCTGATGTACGTTGATCAACTCTACAAATCACTAGTCACTCGCGCGCCAGTGTCAATGGCCATACTCCGTCGATGAGCAAAGATACGACTCACTATGCAGAAAAACAACAGGCCCTGCCATGCAGGTGAGTCATGTCATCAAGTCTGGGAAAATATTGATACTCACGCATTCATTCCATCTGCATTCTGGATTGCGGCATTGTGAGTTAGAAAAGCAACCCTTGGCACATTTGTTTGCACTAGCTGCATCACCGGTAGTGGGCATGGCAGAGATTGATGATGCTAAAGCAACAGTGACAGTGAGGACAATTGTAGAGGAGAAACGCATTGTTTGTGACTCGTGTGTATGTGATCAGGTAATTCTGAAGGCGATGAGAGGAAGATGGCTGGATTTTATACTGTTCTTTGGAATTCTTGTTGCATGGATGTGCCTTCAAATGTATTTATATCTACAAACTGCCAGCACCACATGGAACCCCATGGATATTGCCAGCACTTGAAGAATGTCTATTGGCAAGTGTAGAACTGCTGAATATTCGCATTTCCAACTAGTAGCTGTTGATTATCGGAATGTTGATGTCACGCATTGGGGTCGGTGGGGGTGGTCGTTCCTAATGCGGGGTGGATCCTGTCCCTGACTTCAACTATTTCCTCCATTGAATTGGCTAGAGACCCAAACCAGTTTCTTTTCGAGTGTTGACGTGTGCATGCATTAGATAAAAGGGCATTAGCAGAGTAGATCAACATGGCTTATGCAATGCGTGCATATGTCCCTCGCAGTTGATGTCTTCATCCTCAGGCTGACTGCAGGCTCTAATCTTCCACAGGCCCAGTGCGGAAAAGCTGATGCACATGATCTCAGTCGCGGTGGTTGTGGCCTGTTGTGGCTGAGTTGAATTTTCTTTTGCCAAGTTGGATCCGACACTCTGTCTAACTGCTGAATCCCAGTGAAGAACGACAATATTTAGGTAGATATGTGTAGATATAAGTCAATAAAAATTTAAGTCATGATTCTTATCGATCTGTTTCGAGGTCTCTCGACAAAATGTTGCTTTTCGAGACATAAAAAGATACAGATCGAGACGGATTTCTAACATTTAGATATAATTCTCAATGCCTTTAGGTGTTTAGATAGGCATTTACATATGGATTGTTGCTCAATTTGAATCAAAAATGTTATCAATACACAGCTAATGCAATCAAATGAGAATATCGAGGGGTATTGCTATTATTTGGGGGGTATTGCTAGGTATTGCTATCACTGGGGGTATCCACTGCGCGCTGCGCTGCCATCCCGCCATCCCGTGTCACACTACTCCTCATCCATGTCGTGAACGGTTCCAACAACCCCACATGACTTGAGCTATAAAATGAGACTGTTAGTGTAGTACACAATAGAGGATGGTGGGCCAAACTCACCTGAGCTGTTGCTTTGCACTTGTACACCTGGTAGACAGTATTAGATAGATATCATTAGGGAATGACACAGGTAAACCCGTGGGTGGCAGCAGCATCACCCGCACCCGTACCTGCATGGCGGGTATGGGTTTTCTGGAGGGTATGCAGGTAGCGCACCCACGGGTGCACACTAAAATTTCAAAAACAAAACAAAATGTAATGAAGAGCTAGTATATCGAAGTTAGTCCAAGTCAATACTGTCCCATCCATCCTCAAGTACCTCCTCAGCATTCTCATCAACATCGGGCAAGGCAGAGACTTTCATTACATCTTCTGTTTTGATGAAATTCAAATGGCTCCAAGTACTGAGGCAGAGTAAGGCGCGTGTTGACTGTGTGGACAGACGTGACCGAACATGAGAGAGTAAGAGCCTGCCGCGGCTAAAAAGACGTTTGACATCCACGGATGTAGCTACCGATAGTGTCAGAAGAATCTATAATAAAGTCAGACTAGTTAGACGTACCAGGTATTGTAAGGTAGTCAAGTGCCATCCGTGAAAGACGAGGATAAGATGACCGGCGCTCATGCCACCATGCAATAGCATCAGCGACATGCTCGACATCAGTACTCAGGTAATGCTCAAGCTCATTTGCTAAATCAGCCAATTTGTGTGGTGCAAGTGCTGACAAGCCGTCGAAAATATTCTACAATACAGTTAGTGAATAGAACAAAGTAGATTGAAAGAAAACAACCTCGCACGAAGTATCTGTGACCAGGTTAGTGGCACTGTTAACCACCATTGAGTCAATGTCGTCCTCTTCGATCTCCATGTCCTGGTAGGCATGCTCAAACTCCTCGCGCACAAGAGTTTCCGCTGTGGTGACCCAATCTTCCTCCCAACCAGTGGACTTGAAATAGGCCAATTTGTGACGAGGATGTAGGACTATAAAAAACAATAGTGAGTGTTCATAGGGATCTGGTAATTATTGAGTGGAACAGCAGAACATACCCATGGCAATCCTATATACCTCTGACTTGTCCATCATCTGATAGTATCGGTCGAGGGTCTTCTTGGCGATCTGAACTGCAGCATGAATCAATGGTGAGTATTTAGTGTCGCGAGAATACTTTGTCATCTGGTCATCGATTAAATCCATTGCAGGGATGACAGTAGCAAGATTGGGAGTTGAGCGGGAGAAGAAGAGGGTGGTGTCCTTGAGAATCTTGGCTGCTGGTGAGTCATCAGTTTATTGTAAGACATGTAATAATACATGCACCTTCAATATGTCATAAAGTTGACCGGCAATTTCCCATTCATTGTCAGCAAGTTCAAACTGTTGCAAACCCAACTCTCATTGCTGTGTAACAGCGTTAATTGCTTTCCGATGTGCAAGGGCATATGCCAACATGTCGTATGTCAAGTTCCAACAGGTCGAAACATCGCGGGGCATGTTGGTTACCGACATCTGTTGATCACGAAGGATCCTGTGCCAAGCTGGGAGAAGGAGTGTCGTTGAGTGGATAAGCTTGTAGGTGAGTTTTCGCAGCTATACAAAGATATTGTCAGTTCGCAGGTGAGTTGTATCTATTCTAACCCACCTTGAGCAGAACAAACTTAATGGGCCTTATGTTTTTTTGTAGTTCTGCAGATTCAGTGTTTCGCAACAAGTCTACCTCATTCACCCATCCTTTATCGTTATCTTGCAGGTCGTCTTCCAACACTTCCTCGTTATATTGGGATATCGTCTCCCTATCTTCTGTCTCAATGTTACCACTCAGCTCAACAAGATCGTCATCAATCTCTTCAGGAGCATCCTTGTCTCAGGCACGCTCAACATCTTTCTTCAACACATTGAACTCACGTATCAGCGACTTGGCAACAAGATTGATGGTGTGCAAAAAACACCGAGTGTGGCTTGCTTCTCCTGCAAACTCAGGCACCAAGACAGCAAGCTTATCGACCATCACATTGTTGTTCGATGCATTATCACATGTTACGCTCAACATCTATTTGTTGACACATCAACATGTAAGTTATTTTGTAGTGTTTCAAAATGTTACCTTCTCTGATATGCCAAATTCCTTTAGCATATCTGCAAAGACAGCCACGAGTTGTTCTCCAGTGTGAGACTAGTGTGAGTGGATCATTATGTGCACTATTGTCAATGTAAGTGATTTTCGTACTGTTGCTACTTCAACAATATCTAATGGAAAACTCAGGGGGACACCTTCATGCTCAAGATGTACTGCGACTGCAACAAATGCACGGTGGTTCTCTGACGTCCATGCATCTGTAGTAAAGTTCATTCGCCCTTCGTATTCCTAGTAAGATTAGTTTTTTTTTGTCATTTATTTGAATAAGACTTGACTAACTTGCAACATCTTAGCGATTTGCTTCCGTGTTCATGCAAAAACCAGTCTTACATCACGCGAGATTGTCCTTGGGGAGGGTATGTAATACTCAGGTCTCCCAGTCTTCATTAACGACTGAAAACCTCTATCTTTGACTATATTGAATGGCCGCAGGCTCTCTGCTACCCAACGGACCAACTCAGCCCTGCAAGATAGTACATTAACTAGTGTGAAGATAAAGCTCAGAAACCTACTTCGTTTCAGTCCTAGTATGTTGCCTGTGCGAGTACGTGACCTTTCCCTTTCCCTTCCGCTCAAACGATGATGTAATTGATCCATTACATAGGATGCTGGTGACAATCTTGGTTCGTACTTCCTCTGTATTTTTTGCTTCACAAGCAGCCTCCAATACACCTTCCCCCCAGCAAGATTTGATGTGCTTGCGCATGTTACTTGTCAAGTGTGCATCTTTCTTATCAAGGAACCGACAAATACGGACTTTGCACCCCTTCGCCATGCACTTAAATGCATGAGCACGACGGCCATTAATGGTCTCAATGGCAGGAATGGGGTCAAAAAAAGTGTATATTGGTGAGTTCCACTCCTTTATTAATCGTTCTGTGGTGATTAATAATAGCTTATACTCAGAACTCGAACTTGGCCCCTCACTGAGCTCATCCTCGGCAGTCTCTTCTTCAACTTCATTGGCTTCTTCAAGATCATTATCACTGATTACAATAGGCTTGTCATTCGATGCATCATCTTCGTCTTCAGAATGGACCATGACTTGTCGGTGGGGCGCAGGGTGGACTTTGGGAGGTGCTTGTACAACTGTTCTGCCACAAGGCTCAGAGGGTGCTGGGAGTTTATGAGGTGCTTCCTCAATACTATTGTTGCGTTCCTGGGTTGATTTGGCCTTCTTGGGTTGTGTGTGTTGTTCTGCTATTACTGTCATCATTCTTTCTTTTTCTGGATGACATCTCGAGCCTTTCATCTATTGCCGCCTTAGCTTTATCTGTAAGTTTGGTGATACATTTAGCAGCATTTTTGAGAATTGTTGGTTGCATGATGTGATGGATAGCTAGTTTGTGTCTGGCTGGTGATGTCATTGACTCAAGGTTTTGATACTCGAGGTTTTGATTGAGGTTTATGTTTTTATGTAGTGATACTAGCTTACAAACCCATGATAAGGGTATGGGTACAGGTGCCTGAAGTGGATACCTGCACCCGTACCCTCAAGGTACCCGCACCCATGACCTGTGCAGGTGCCTGGTACCCATGTCATTCCCTAGATATCATCAATATAACAAAATTGACGCACATCTTTGTCGGCTTTAGATAACCCGTTCCAGTAAGATGTGAAGACAGTCGCAGGTTCCTTTTGATGGCCGTTTGATTGCCAATCCAAAGCACACAAGTTCCTGCATCATATGAATCGTAGAATTAGCTTTGATTGGCCTGATAATGATAGAATCACTTACCGTGCAGTGATCTTTGCACTCACATGCATTGGCTTGGTACTCGGCTGATGCTTCTTGATGGTATCAGGCTTCGAGCTGTTGATCGCGATCTTCGTTTGCTCGGTGCTCTGGGACGCTGCGATGACTTCCATTTTCACATCAAGTGAAGTCGAATCGGCAGTTGATGGAACCTCTGGCATGGAGAGTAGTGTATGCTGTGTGATGTCATTGGTGGATGGGATTGGGGTAAGATTAAGTTCAGAAGTCAAAGTTGAAGTCACAGTCGAATTCGCAGGAATCTTCGATGGAATTGGTCTGGGCCAAGGCTTGGAGGCAAGATTAGAACTATATTGATTAGATCAGTGTACCATCAATAGTGTCATTGACGAAATGATATAGACTCACAGAGGGTTTTTGATCTGTAGACATGTGAAATGTGTGTAGTTAGTACAATGACCCTTCCAATACAACATACATATACTTGCCTCTATAGCTATCACTTCCTTCCCTTTTCCTTTGTCGGTACTGGGTGGAGGTGTAGGTTCACGGTTGGGGGAAGGATCTCATATGATGTTATTGCTTGATGATGTGGTCTGTAAACCATGTAATTAGCGAGCATCGATCATGATCGAGTGCAGAGACAACTTACCAGATCAACCTCTTCTCTGATATCGGAATCCACGCGTGATCGCTTGATAGCACATTCATTGTTGGGTTCAGACAATCTCCATTTCTGAGTGGCAATTGGGGCCGAGTCTGTGATGCTCTCGTCTTCTAAGTCTTGCTCTGCCTTCACGTGGTCACTGCTTCTTTTTTTCGTGTGATACTTGTGCCATTGGGGGTAGTTGTCGGTCAAAAGTTTCATGATATTCCAATTGTCGGTGCAAAGACGAAGCTCAATATGGTTCTTGTGCAACGTGTGAACCAGCCATTTGAGGACATCCAGTGAAGCTTGGCCGATGGATTCCGGTGCAAGTCCTTGAGTATGAAGTTGGCGGAAGCAAGACAACATTGTTGACTGAATTGACTTTGCATGCTGAGCTGAGACAGGCATGCCATCCTTGTCCTGGAGGTAAGTCGACACATTGATACCTTGCGCCAAACGTCTGGATCCACGTGCTGATTTTTTCGAGGAGGAACCAGGAACAGCTGATGTGCTCAGAGGGTATTGTTCCTGCCATTCCTTTTTGGTCCAAGACTTCACTGATGGAAATTTGGTCTGATTGAGCTTGTGATTGCAGGCTTCTTCGATTGTTCTGTTGAGAAGGAGGGGTGGCTTATGTTCATCGTTGCCATTGGTGCCGGATGAAGTGCTTGAAGCGACAGATAACGACAAGCTCGATGCGACTGAGCTCACTGAACCTTGGATATTAACAATGATATTCCTACAAGACACATAATTAGATATCATTGAAATAAAAATGAAGGAATGTATGTGCATATAGTCACTTGGTGGTGAATATATGTGCATACAACTTACTGTAAGGTCTGGCAGGTAGTATTGAGACTTGTATTTTTACTCGCCAGCCTTCGTACATCCGCTTGGAGACTGGCAATCGCGTGTTGTGACTCCACAAGTTGATGCTTGAGTTGGGCAACAAGATTGGTGTTGGAGTCCTTGCACGGCAACAGATCGTGATCGAGTATAGAATCTAGAGAATCTTGATACATAGAAGACTCACCATGTGTTTTATATCAGTATCTGAGCCTTCAGCATGTCTTTATAATTAATATAATGACTCACATTAAGTTCTCAAAGTACCATCGGCTCATGCAAATAGTACATCTGGCCAGGCCCATTCGGATCAAATGATTGTAATAATGATTGTTGAGAATTAGTCTGAGGGACCAAGGAGTTTGGGTATCTGTTGTTGAGGGACAGTGACATGATGGTATGAGTTGAGGGACACTTTGAGTTGAAGTCAAGAAAGGAAACTCACCAGAAACTCACCAAGTTCGGTTATTGCCATGCATCTGTTATGCTACCACCAGCCATCCAGGATTTTCTGGACCTATCATCAGATCCAGACCTTGATGGTTATCAGGCTGATACCAGGTGTTACAAGTAACATCGGTCATGTGGCCCCCCTATCATTTTCCCTTCATCCTCACCCTCACCATCTACTGGCTCGTCCTCCTTTACTGACTATCTGTTGATCAGATCCTCGGGATTGTTCCCGTCCCTTGCATCGCCCTCCTCTATGCACGTGTGTATGCACGTTCCTCCTGTGACTCGACCACCAATGTGGTCCCACACCTCTGACTCAGTCTGACTCATGCCACCAATGTGGCTTTCCCCTTTTGTTCTCTTCTGACTGCACTTCCTGCATGTTGTATTCTTACCATTGGATCATTCCAATGTTTCTCAGTCTCATTCCACATTTGACCATCCATCACTAATCTGGCTGTGTTGCCAGTGTACATATACCATTCTCATTTCCCCTTTACCCTTACCTACTGTACGGTAACCCAGCCCTCAACCCTTTCCACTTAGTATAAGTAGTCGGTCACCCTGTACTAGATTCTCTAACTTGAATCTACTCAATCTTCCCTGGAACATACTTCCCTCTGAGCGCCCCTTTGGCCTCAGTCTCTAGTATCTTTTCTTAGTTGCTCATTGTGACTAAGTCTACCTCGATCGACACTCATCGTTCGGACAAAACCATCCTTACTTTGAGCCTGGTGACTTCGCAGACATCCGTCTTAGAAGTCACGTGACACGTGCATCTGTGATCACTGCCGACTCATTATCGCCAGTCTCACTCACCATACCGGATCCTTCCGGTTACGTCAACGACTGTTAGCGGATGATGCCCCTCTTAGGGCTCCGCGTAACAGACCTATTTGAGTGCGTAACACCAGGTGAGTCTTTACTTTGCGATGTAACACTCGAGCTTGTGCTAGGCTCATATCCAGCTATTTCCTGATACATGTCAAACATCTGAATCACTTCCCAATGTTATCCGACACTCATCTGCTCAATCCGACGCTAACCCGCTCAATCCAATGTTTATCCGCTAAACCCGACGCTACTCCGATGGACCCGACGTTCCCGCGCATCGGACCCGATATTTTCCTGCGCATTTGTCCTCCCTATGTCTTGTCCTGTTGTATCTATCCCCACTAGGTGCGCAGTTATTCATTTTCATGTCGCTAACATTGTAGAACATGTTATTACATGTCCGCAGTACATCATGTCTTATTACATAGGACATCGGACCCGAAAATCAGCGCTACTACATTCGCCTATAGCACTCCGAATTTCTACATAGACACTATATATTTCGCATACCTCCTACCTATTTACTTTACCTTTCTACCTCTGAGTAGGAGGAGGTCATCCGATATTCGTAGTTCTTAGTTGGATTCCGCAATATCATCCTTTCTTTATCTGAAACATCAGACAGTAACCTGCCATTCGCTATCCCCGACATTCGCTATATTCCCAACGCTAACCCAATGCAAACCCAACAAAACCCGCTAACCCGAAAACATCGGATCCGACATTTTTGACATCGGACTCGTAATTATACCTTCGGACTTCATTTCCCGCGCTTTGGACTATCTTCCTTTTGATATAACTGATTATTCTAATACCAACAGCAAGCCCCTCGGGTTGAATGCACTTGTCTTGCAAGTATAGCAGACTAGGCTGTGCACGACCACAACACATTTTTATATATTGCTGAACACTTACTTCGAGTAGTGTCCAGCAATTGTTGTATCTCTACAGTGATCTAGATCTATTAATCTTATCTACTAGCATCAATACAAATAATTCCAATGACTCCACCCATTCTAGTACCCCCATTATGACCTTGTCGGACGATTTCTTGCTGGATCCCAGCAATTGGACTTCTGATCCTCTCAGGGCACGTCTGATGAGGCTAAGGGATTTATTACAACAAGAATAAGTTTTTATTTATTTCTATTACATTTTAATACAAGTTCAGTAGATCTGCACCTACCAAACCTACTCCCACCCTCCCCGTCGACGACCCAAGCAGCAGGACCGAGCCGGAGAGCGAACACAAAAACCCGTCCCAGCCTGCAATACCTACTCCCACCCTCCCTGTCAACGACCCAAGCAGCGTGACTGAGCCAGAGAGTGAACCTGAGAGATCTGCACCTACCAAACCTACTCCCACCCTCCCCGTCAATGACCCGAGCAGCATGATGGAACCCGAGAGTGAACCCAAGAGAGCTGCTCCTGCCATACCTACTCCTACCATCCCCGTCGACGATCTGAGCAGTGTGATGGAGCCTGAGAGTGAACCCGAAAACCCGCCCCAGCCTGAGTTCAGCACGCCGATCAAGATCAAGGGCGCAACTCCAGTTCCAAAAAAGAAGGGCTTCTTCGACACTCCAAGTCCCCCAGGGCCTGATTCACTCTATTGGAAGTATGTCTCGCGCGAAGAAGATGAAAAATGGTATGATCGTTCGAAAACAGACACCAGCTTTCATGCAGTACATTCAATGAAGCAACAACTCAGGAACATTAGTTAGAAATGCATTGTATTGTATGTATTGTACATATGTGAGACTCCCAAAATGAAAACACTTAATGAAAACACTTTGATGGGATCAGGATCAGCTTCTGTCTGATGGGATGGGATCATAATGAGACATACCTTTCATTCCTTGTCTGGTATATGTTCCTCAGCTCCACCCATTGTCAGTAGGTCCAGGCCTGAGTGCTCTATCAGGTAGAACAGAGTTCCATCAATTCCTGGGAATTGATGGGGAACCATTGCTACTACTGCTTGTATAGTAGATACCTCAATTAGTCGTAGTGAATTGTCACCGTGATGATGACATGCGAAGACCGTTTGAAAAGACTGTTCAAGGAGTTCTGGGTGTGGTCAATCGAATTCTGATATGAGCGCGAATGTCTTCGACTGATCATGAATTGTCATATTAAAGTAGAAGTAGACCTCAGCGATGCTTGTGTGACCATCAATGAATAACTTTGATTCAGAAATGAATATAGATACTCGATTGATCGATCAAAAAACTTACCTTTACATTCCATGCCATCCTGGGTTGCTTTGACATCCCGTTTTCCTTCCAGGCCGATCATGCAACTTGTCCGTTAGGAAGACGTAGTCAAGCCCATCTAGTGACGGGAGGAGCAAAAGGAACATGGATGCCATTGGTGGCCAAGTAATGAAGGATTGCGTCAGATTCACAAGGACAGACTAGATGGGCTGATCACTCCCTTCAACAGAGTAATAGATACCCTTGTCCGAGATCCAGCGATCCTTTTGGGGGAGTATTACTAGATGGTTCTATGGTTGGAATAATAGCCTTGATTGCATTAACTTGACAGCGTCAGATGGCACATTGAGAAAGGTTGGCATAGACAGATGAGTTATGAAGGTGGAATTCTTGCCCGAGATTACTGATTGTCCTCTCCATCATCCACTGGGATGAGCAGATCAGAGGGCCTTTGTTGACTGTCTCAGGGCCAATATGAGTGAGGGAATGAATCCATGGGCGAATGAAATGAAGTTGATCATTGCAGCGCTGATAATAGATTTCTTCGAAATCGTCGGCGAAGTCCAGAAGGTGCTGATGGCCATCAAGAAGTTCTGATCAGGAGATGTGGTATTGCTGCATTAGGCGTAAACCTCACGCAAGGTGACAAAAGTTCGTCCAGTAGGAATCAGGGAGGATGCTGAAGAGTGTAGCAGGTGCCATACCATAAAGATACAGAAGCCACTCCCAAGCCTTGTACCCGCTATGGATTTTTTCTGCAGGGTTTCGAGGGGGGCAATCAAATGAACCTGGCAAGTATGGAGTTGCATCAGCGATACTCAATGCATGCTTCTTCCAAGTGTCCTTAGTGAGCACAGCCCAGCACCATGTGGCTTTATCATCTGTTGGGTTGGCTCTAAATGTCCCTCTCCAGAGTGGTATCAAGAGATCTCCAGCGTTGATGGCAGCTACATGCATAATGTCTGAGCCAAATGAGTGCGTAACTGGGAGAATGTGATCAGAATTAAAACTGCAGAAGATGCTTGGCTTGGTGATGCCTGTTTCCAGGCGCGCAAGTTCATATTCTGCAGCATTTCTGCAGGAGACAATGCGACGGAGATTTGCCTCGTAATTGAATGATCCAGCGGGGGGTAATTGATGGATGAGAATATCAGGGTGATCGTAGTTACCAACCGGCTGGCGAAGTACAGGATAGTAAGTGGGAGCACCTAGTTTATGTCGGCCAGGAAGCCCACAGTAGAGTCTGCAGCCCATTTTGCCATGATGTCCAACGAGACCGGTGAGAAATGCCATTCCAGGGCCATCTGCAGTCGCGATGAAAAGGAAAGGGTTGGAGGTAAACAATCTGTTAAGTGCGCCATCCCAGATTGCAAGGCCCTTGGCCTGGATTGCGCATAAATGGTGGAGTCCAGGGAATATGAACAAGTCGAGGTTTTTGGGTTTTTTGGGACCAGGAATTATGCCGCCAGGGAGGACATACTTTTTTTGATAGCGTTGATCCAGGGAGTGATCAAACAATACCCAGATATAGATCCAGCAGTCTGACTGCTTGGATTCATACAGTTGCGCCCCATCAATCGAGAACATGAGTACGGGGTCGCCTTCTTTAATTTTCCCAGATTGGCAGGCATCAAGATACTCCTTGCCATGAAGAACATCTTCATAGATGCTGGGACTCCCATCAGTCATCCCGATCTCTTCTAGAATCTCCTTGGTGCGCTGATCACGCCAGGGCATCTTCTCTGCTTGGTTTGGATGATGCCATAGGGCCTGGAGCTGTGGACCAACTGGAAAAGTGTCAAATGTTCGACAAGGTATCTTCTTCTGAGGCGTGCTTTTTTTGGGATCCCATCGATCTTCTCCACATCTAGAACAATGATCAAGGTCGGCATATGGACCAGTAAAAGCGAGGCATGTATTGATGCACATGTTACGACTAGGATAAGTCTTCTCAACACTGGTCTGAATGGACCGTTGTGCGAAGCGTGTCGAGGTCTTCTTACAGGTCGATGGAATGTCGAGAGGTCTCTCCATCTATCTCGGTAAGGGCAGCGCCTCATCGAGATGAAGGTCTAGCAAGAATACAGCTAAGGCGTGGGGAGCGACTTAGAAGTGCAGTGAGGTGTTCAATGAAGCAAGTGGATTAGACAAGCTAAAGACCAAGTTCTGGGGATCTACCTAGTAGATTAAAGTAAAGAACTAATACAATAATATGTCTACTTATATATGTCAATATACAAGGGTTTAAGCTCAGTCTGTATCTATTAGTATATCTGCAGATCTATGCTATCAAGGATAGCGGTACATGAAGTCAATCATGAGGCAAGATAAGATACATGAGGCTTAACCTCTGATCAAGCGTGAGGCGCCAAGAGGTGCTCTGGGTCTTCATGAGGCAGCAACAATCAACATGTGCCAATCTAGGGTGTCCATGAGGCGTACAGCCTCAGAGGTTCAGGTACAAGGCCTTCTAGGCCAGGGGCAGTGTCGCAGCGGTCCAGACCGCTGTCTTTCTAGGTGCTGGCGGCGTGCCACCGCATTGGGAGTCTAGCAGGGCGGGGGCTCCTGTAGATGTTGCAGTAGACTGTAACAGCACATGTCATTTATGATCAGCACGACACCACTAAGTTCAGCAACAGCTTGCTTCACACAATAGTAGCTGTATATGTCATCGTCAGGGTACCGTTCAATAGTAGCATCACGAATAGAATTATACTGTTTGATAGTCGTATCAGCAAAATAAATTTTCAAGGATTGTATGAGGTTGGGATCTGTGGTATCTGGGAGTGCGTGGGGAGGATTTCGAAGCCTATCTAATGTGTCTGGCGATAATTGGGAGTGTATGTCATCAAGTGATGATTGTCGTAATGCGTTTATGAAAGCCATCACGTCCTGTGCATCTCCGGGTCGTGCCATACGGTGCAATTCTTCTAAGTCCTCATTGGTCCAACTCATTGTCTGCGCAGGAGGAATATCTGCTTCATCACGATCATGATCGGGGTCCCTATCCCGATGCATGCCCTCGAGATTCTCTGCCTCAAGGCCTGCTTCCTCTGCTTCCTCTGCTTCCTCACGCCCTGTACTAGTGTCCTCGAAATTAGGCTCCAGAACTTGATGGTTGTCGGATGCCTTGGGCACATTGTGATCTAGATTGTCTGTATGCTCATGTGTATCTAGATCTATGTAATACCATTAGTTTTGATCATGATCATAGTATGAAGAATAAGCTTACCATAGTCTTGGCTGTGACCATCAACCTCTGGTGCAAAGTCGTGGTCGGGAATGTTGTCAGGCACATCCAGAGGGTGTTTACTTGAAGAGGGTCCGGTTGCTACAGGAGTTGGAGGTCGTGGGCTGCTGAGAACAGAAGTAGGAAATGAATGTACAGCAATTCTGCCGGTTGTGTTTGAAGTAGGTGTTTCGGTGTACCTGCTTGGGCTTACCTACATTTTTGAGAAGGCAGGAAGCGCAGTCACAGACATATATGTTGGTGCCGTCTTCAAGTGAAGGTGCAATGTTGAAATTTGCAAACTGTAATTTGCAAACATTTACTCAAACTGCAAAGTCAACTTTGTGATTTTGAAAAATTTGAACTTTGCATTTTTTTTTGCGATTATGCATCTTTGCTATCTCGATTCAATTAGATTTATATAGTTTTGTTTAGCTATGTTGCCTGCTATCTACACATATCTACCTAAATATTGTCGATTTTCACTGGGGCTGAATCACGAAGGTGATCAACGTCTTTCGAAAGTCAACTGAAGTGCATGGAAGCTTTTGATGAACAATAAATCTTGAATGTGTATAAGGTGCGACTAATGTTGACCAGTTTGCTATGAAATGTATTGGGGAACCAGGATGAATCATGAATAAAAGGAACATCAGGAAAACCCCAACTTACTTAAGCTTGCCTTAAACAGACTTGAGCCATACTTAGTGACTTAGCCTACTTTGCCAGAAATTCAAATTTGATATATTCAGGAAAAAGTTGTTCAGTCATATTAACATACATATTTTGTTACAGGTTACACTAAAAAAATACAAAATTTACTAGGTGGATGATGCACGAGAGAGGAAACAAATGTGGCTAAGTTGATTAAGTAAGATTAAGTAAGTTGGGGTTTTCCTGATGAAACAGCAACAGGTTCTGTAGGTAAAAAATGCAGATATAATGACATTTCTGCTGATGAGTGTACAGGAAGAAGGGTACAACAACGTCAATAAAAGTATGGTATAGTATATTTTTTCACTGAGCACCGACAACCCTATGTCATGATAATCCGCTGCTCAAGCGTTGACATCGATGGGGGTGCAGCCAAGGTTGAAACGTTGACGAGACAGGTACGTTAGGGAGGATGGGTTTCTCTCACTTTTCCCCCTTGCTTTTATACATCCTCGCTCATTATTTTCCGGAATGTTATTAGGTGAGTATTTCCAGCCTTCAAAATTTGATCAACTGAATTGTTTGCAATGAATCAAATGAATGCTTCTCGTTGATGCTTGACAGGCCAAGTTGTGCATCATGTTCAATCATACGACCCGGAACGATCGAAGATATTTATGATATACCAGCTGTAAGCTTTGTCCATGGAACCTTTGACTCTTCCTTCGTCAAGATTTGAGTATGCAGGTTCACAATGCATCGACGTTCGTGAGTCGGCAATTACCAAATCGATTATAACTGGCAGAAGTAAGTTATTAACGATATCGAAGTATCTCGCCTGGTTGCACCACGTCATCAGCAATGCTCTTGAACATGATTCAATAAACATAAAGGCATTGACGTTAGCTGATGTTGAACGTAAGATGGACTAGTTCCAGATCAGAAGACAGACAGAGAGGAACGTTCAATGGGAATGTAGAGGCAATCTGCACTACCTTCAAGCTTTAGTTCAACTTGAAGGAGCAATTATGGCTGTCGACAAGGATCACGGTGCTTTGGAACGAATTGCCCTGCACCGGAAACTCTGAGCAAAGGCCAAAAGAACGTATTCCGGATAACATCTATGACGGACCGCAGCTCAAAACAATCCAGGCCTTCTCGTCACGTTGAGTAGCCGCGGTCATTTATGCTAATCATTACTTACCTTCTCCCGGTCGTAATATTTACGATTGCCTGAAACGGATTGAATGCGCTCTACGGAATCTTGTTCTCTGGCAGAAAGAAGTTTGATGGAAGCTCGCTTGATACATAGTATCATACAAGCCTGTCAAGCGGTTTGAACGTTGCTGAGAAGTGAAGCTGCGACCCGCGCTTAGGAAACCAAAAATGTGAGGTGGTCCCACAAAAACCAACAAGTAGAAACCAAAGATAACATCGATGAGCAGTCGAGTCTAGCACTACGGCCATTGGAAAAAGAAACGAGAGTGCTCGGCTTGAAGTTGTGCTTCGAGAACAGTTGTACTGATACTGACCCGCGCGGGAACATTAGCAATGATCGTGGTAGACTCCAAGTCGTCGAGTCAGAGTGTCCTGGGACTCTGTTGCCGAAAACGGTAGTTTGCTGATGTCAAAGGCATGTCTGAGAGGTGCATAGTTGTTGAGTTCGACAAGTAATACTGCTAGGTCAATTATCTTGTGTATGATTACAGTAGTTGTCGGAAATGAGCGTTGAATGTATGTTTCGGTGTGGCAGTGTTGCGTTAGTGGTGCGACAAGTTGCGGTAGTGATGCCTAAGCCCGAGTAGCTTTGCGTATATTTACATCTGTTTTAGTAGATTTCAAAATATGCCACATGCCTATCTGGATCTTGTCGAACGTTGTTGAAAATGGGACTAGATAGCTGTAAAATATGCAGGATCTAGGTGCGTTTTCATTGGGTACATCGTGCGCATACATACTTATATTTGATCTTCAACGTTGCAACTTTCAGCCCGTCGGTGTGAGGCTGCGCTGTGGACTGATCTGCACGCCCCTTGATAGTATCTTCGTGCGTCTTATCTTAGTCTGAACATTACCTATATATATTTCATGAAAATTTCATGCCAATTCCAATATACAAAGAGCTGTGAGTGGACCCATTTTTTCCTGATGTGCGTTGAGCAACTCTACAAATCACTGGTAACTCGCGCGCCAGTGTCAATAGCCATACTCCGCCGACGTGAAAGCAAAAATACGACTCACTACACAGAAAAACAACAGGATCTGCCATGCAGGTGAGTCATGTCATCAAGTCCGGGAAAATATTGATGCTCACGCATTGATTCCAACTGCATTCTGGATTGCCGCATTGTGAGTCAGAAGTGCAAACCCTGAAACACGTGTTTGCGCTAGCTGCGTCACCGGTAGTGGGCATGGCAGAGATTGATGATGCTAAAGCGACAATATTGACAGCGAGGACAAATGCAGAGGAGAAACGCATTGTTTGTGACTCGCCGTGTGTATGTGATCAGGTAATTCTGAAGGCAATAGGAGGAAGACGGCTGGGTTTTATATCGTTCTTGAATGGAATTCTTGTTACTACGTGGATGTGCCTCCAAATGAACGCATATCTACAATTAATGCCAGCACCGCGTGAAACCCCATGGATATCGCCAGCACTTGAAGAAGACGGTCTGTTGGCAGGTGTGGAACTGCTGGATATTTATTCGCATTTCCAACTAGACTCGTAACCAGTTATTTGAGATGGTTTGAGACTCTATGATTATGTAACGAGGTACGAGAGGTAGGTCTTTGCGCAAGCCTGAGTGTCGGAAGCAGTACGAACCTTTGCCTTCGTACTGCGACGACGCATCTTTCTCGTCTCAGTCGTCCTCAAACGACGTTATTCTTCCTCTTGTTCTTTTCCTCCTGTCAACAGCTCAATCACTCTTGCTAAAAAGACCTCCAAATTCGCCCGGCACATCATGCAACGCATCCCATCTGACCCAGCGTTAGAAGCACAACCATCAGCGGCTTACAGCGGTTGGCTCAATGCCGAATTCATTTACACACTTATCCTGCACGGCGTCACAGTCAGTCACAATCACGTAAGGTAGGTAGAATCCGCGCGGCTGCTACCTTCAAGTTAGTAGATTTCAAAAAGTCCAGTTTTCACTGGGTATCATATTGCATGCTTATCTGGATCTTGACGAGCGTTGTTGAAAGTGGGACTAGATAGCTGTAAAATATGCAGGATCTAGGTGCGTTTTTATTGGGTACATCGTGCGCATACATACTTATATTTGATCTTCAACTTTCAGCCCGTCTATACCACCGTCGGTGTGAGGCTGCGCTGTGGACTGATCTGCACGCCTCTTAATAGTATCTTCGTACGTCTTATCTTAGTCTAACATCACCTATATTTCATGCCAATTCCAATATACAAAGAACTGTAAGTGGACCCATTTTTTCCTGATGTGCGTTGAGCAACTCTACAAATCACTGGTAACTCGCGCGCCAGCGTCAACAGCCATACTCCGCCAATGTGAAAGCAAAAATACGACTCACTACGCAGAAAAACAACAGGCTCTGCCATGCAGGTGAGTCATGTCATCAATTCCGGGAAAATATTGATACTCACGCATTCATGCCAAATGCATACTGGATTGTCGCATTGTGAGTCAGAAGTGCAACCCTTGATACATTTGTGTGCGCTAGTTGGGTCACCGGTAGTGGGCATGGCAGAGATTGATGATGCTAAAGCAATCATGACAGCGAGGATAATTGCAGAGGAGAAACGCATTGTTTGTGATTCGTTCAGGTAGTTCTGAAGACGAAAGGAGTAAGACGGCTGGGTTTTATATTGTTCTTTGAAATTCAAATTCTTGTTGCGTGGATGTGCCTTCAAATGGATGCATATCTACAATTGATGCCAGCACCGCACGAAACCCCATGGATATCGCTGGCACTTGAAGAAGATTGGCAAGTGTGGAACTGCTGAATATTCGCATTTCCAACTAGCTGTTGATCATTGGAGTGTTGATGTCACGGGTTGGGATCAGCGAAGGCAACCGTTCCTTATGATCTCTGACTTCGACTATTTCCTTCATTGAATTGGCTAGAGACCCAAACCAGTTTCCTTTCGAGTGTCGATGTGTGCATGCATCAAATAAAAATGGGTATCAGCGGAGTAGACGTGGCTTATGCAAGTTACACAGGCCGGCTGGCTCCACTTGGAGGGGCGCCCAGAGCCCTTATCAAAAGTGCGTCACAACGATAGGTCAGGAGGTGGTCATGGTATCATTGTTTGCTCAGTTACCTCCATGTTATTGCGAACATACTTATTTCAGAGCCACAGTTGATGTCGAGATACATGTTGTACAAACACACCTTCGCCTGTAATTCATCGGCCAAATCGAAAGCATCAAGAAGGAAACAGTAACACATGCAACGGGTAAGTCGGTAACGCCCAACCCTAGTAGCTTAGTAATATGGGATCCTGCGCTAAAGAACGAGTAGAGTCGCCAGAGATGAAACACGTTTGAGTCCGACAAAAGCCCTCCACTAACGTGGGCCCGGGAGTGGGGAAAGTACGAGCGGAACTCACGGGGTTCAATAGGTGACGGACAATGGACATGCTCAGGCTCGCCTCCCCAGAGTGAATCTATCTCGATTCTTAAAAGTTCCACACCATTAGACCTCAGCCGACAAGATCTGTTGGCATATTGCATTTGAAGGCACAAGCACGTACGCAAGAATAATATTCACCTGTGACACCACTTGGGTCCATAACCATAAATCCCAAACAAACAACGCCACAGAGGACAACCAGAACAAGAGAAGACGACCAGGAAGATGAATAGGATGATGATGCAAGTCCTATTTCAACTCTGGTACGCTGTCAGTATTCCGTGAATGATAAGCACTGCGCAGGAAAGGACGAAGGCAAATAATCTCATTGACAAATTCTAGAGAAAGCCTACTACTCAAAGCCCATCTCCTGCACGTCTCTGAGATGCCTATTCGTGTATTTGTCTCTGCACATCTTGACGAAGCACACCTATCGTGACACCGTGAGCGCAGAGTTTTTCTGCCAAACTCGCTCAAAGAGATAACAACCTCCTTGGGAAGAATTTTCGCCCGAGGGTCCGGAGTGCGTGGAGATTGGGCATCTCTGGAGCAAGGTTTCGATAACGACGTGGCGTTACGCGAGAAGAGCGATAGGCAGTGGGTTATGGGAGACAAAGTCAGCCGTTTTGGCCAAGGGCGTCTTGAAAGATGCGGGGGCCATGATAAGCACACTTGGAATGGAGGGAGTAGTAAGCGGAGGTACTGATTCATGTTCAGCAGAAATTTCACCTCGCTTAAAGACTGAGAGCTTTCACGGGTCAATAGACCGGTAACTTGAGTTGCCATGACCGCACACCTTGCAGTTACAGATGCCAGGCAATGTAGATTCACATACCAATTACAGCTGCCAAGAAGCCGGCATACTGACACACTAAACAAACTTCCCAAGAAGTGACCGGTTGACCGGGCACCCAAGCTATCAAGGACGCCGAGATGCTGTGCACGTGTTGTCACACCTTATGCAGGCCGCCCTCGCTAGTCAATTCACATACTAGTCAGTCAGTGTCTGATTCTGCCAGGAAGTTGGGAGTTCCACATGAAGTTATGCAGGCGGAATTTTATATTACCGCAAGCATGAAAGGCGTTGGCACATTTTCAAGGCTGGGGAAGCATACACCTTGCCGGTTGAAGACCCACACTAGCGCAGTGGCCTCCAAATCCTAGTCACTAGTAGTGAGAAGTGCCAAATTCTTCGACAAAGCGGCGCCCCCGCCTGCTCTGATCATATCCCGCGGAACACATGTACTCATACACACCTCATATGTATCGGCACGGTCGTGGAATCGTGCTTCACACACCTTATGGCCAGAAGGCACAACAAATTGGGCTGCAAATGCGCTCAATAAGGGCCTTCGAGTGATGCATGTGAATGGTATATTCAAAAAAAAGTGGAGGGATTCCAGTGGGGATTGTGGGAGATACATTTTCGTTTGCGGGTTTCGTGGTAATTTGTTGAATATTCTGGTGGGGAGTTAGTTTCACTTTTTAATGAACAAGAATGCCGGAGATCCATGCCTTCAAGCTGACATGGGGGGGAAGACAGACACGTCTTTTGATGGATGTGAATTTCAAGTGCAACGCGGATTTAGGCTCCGTAGGTTATTATTTTCCCGGATTAGCTAATAGCTAAGCAGGTAGCCGGTACGGTGTGTAAGATATTAATATTTTATGTAACGTTGTCCCTCGGATTACCAAAGAAGTTAGAATGTACATAGTGCTACGATTCACAAATGGTACAAACGACGTCCACGGTGCCGCTTGAACCTAGTACACACTCATCGACATCGATGATAAAGATGCGAATCTTGTGATGATCATAGCTTCACAAGAATCAGATCCGAAAGTGGCACAGACTTATCTTATTCCACCGGTCATCAATATTTTCGCTTGTACTTCAGTATGCCGAGCGACACCATGAGTGGTGGAGCGCAGGTGTTAGCTCACATGTTGTAAACAAGGTCGACGATTTATCCAAGTAATAAGCTGATGTGCCTCTAGACGTAAATGACCTTAGGTCTAATAGCTGTCGGGTGCATTCTGCAAAAAATCCTGTGAGCCATAGTATGCGGAAGGAAGCTCGAATAGCCAAACAGTTAAGATCCAGAATGTCTGCGCAGCGTGTAGGACAGCTCTGTAGAGTGTATATGATGTGCAATGTTGATTCACGAATTGCTTCCGTTCTGTCTATATATTATGGGTAATACTACAGAAAGCTCTATTTGTACAAAACCTATCGAACTAAGAACTGTAAAACATAGTAAATGCGCCAAAACTGAGTACTGAACCTCAAACACCCCCACCACTCTTCTCAACAGGTATCCTCCTCCTCTGGACACCCTTCTTGCTCACAGCAGGTGCGACCGAAACGTCTTTCAAATCTCCACAGATCTGCAAAATCAAGGTTTGTGAGCATGAGCGCGAGATGACACGAATTGACACAACGAAGATGAAGTGGGAGATGGAATAAGAACGAACCTCGACAAATTCCTCAAAATCTACATCTCTCCCCTTTCCCTCAGGCAAATCAGGAAGCCCCGCCTCCCTTAAAACGTATCTGAAGTCCGACTCCCGCACACCCTCATAAGCATACCCAAGCCCCGCTACAGACTGCACGGCTTCTCGTATCATCGATACAGGCATCCTCATCTGATCCTGCGCCCCCAAACCAAAACCAGGCTTAGAATCGGAGCCAGAACCAGAATCGCCAGACACGCGCGCATACCGCCCAAACACCTCCCTCAGCACCTCAATCTCCCCCGGCTGAAACAACGCGCGCGAATACGTCGCCGCACCCGTTGAAGACGGGCGTAAAAGCGCGGGACAGAATCCAAACAGTGCACACACACGCCGCTGTACCTCTCCTATGCGTAACCAGCTTTCTCCCGACGAA